GCTCCACTATTAATTCTGCCCACTTTGAAACTCGGTGTTCACACTTTGTCTCAGTGTCAGGGCATCGGCTCGTGAATGTTAGGAGGTTTCTACCAAAGACAGCCGCACCAACTGTATATATTTCTGATAGTAGTCAGTTCCAGGCTGGACATTTTTTTAAATGGGTTTAGGAAATAGATAATCGTACAAATGTCCCATCACTAACAACCGGACCACAAAACCAGTTTTTCTGAATCACAAAGACACTATTCTCACACCGAGCCCTTTCTCCAGGAAAAGATTGTTGCTGTGTAATGAACAGATGGATTTCACCTCCTGCTCCTCCTCAAAGAGCTCCTGGTTGATCCCAGGACCAGCGTCCTGGCAGCAGGTGTTCATCTTCCTGTCTTAGTCTGCGTCAGAGGAGCCCGAGCTACGGAGGGGTCGCCCGTCAAACTGCCACAAGGACCCCGCCTGTCAGCTGCTGAGCACGTCCCAGGAGTCACCATGTGGACGCGGGTCAGACCCACATGTACCTCGTCAGTTCACGTCCTTGTAACTCTACGTCACCAAGGCAGACGGAACAAAGTGACTGCTTTTTTTTTGGGCAGGGGGGTTTGTGCTGACAAAACAACTTAGCGAACGACGAGCCTCGACCCCTGGCAGGCTCAATATGAGCTGAGTGAGAGACAGTGGCAGACGGAGGTTGTAGGCACATGAATAAATCGATTAGTGGCGCGCTTGACGGATGGGATTTTTAGGAGGCCTCGACGCAGCACAGAATTAATTTTCGCTGGGAGAACGTGCCTCTGCTGGGGTTCATTCGTCTTGGCGAGGAGTTTGGCAGTTTCCCCGGGTCTCGGGGCTCAATTAACCGACGGCTGCAGCAGTATGTTGAGGGGAAAAGCTTTTGTTGAGGAACGCTGCACATTTGTGTCAGACTTGTGTGCTAATGATAACAGATTTTGGGAATGGGAAATGAGGCGAGGTGGGGGAGGTGGTGGAACGGTGGAACAAAGAACAGGTACTGTTGGAGCAGCAGCGTCAGGGCTGCAGTCACAGCTGCAGACAAAGAACTTTCTTCTTCACTCCTGCTCCTGACAAATCCACCAATGACCAGGAAGTTTGAGTCTTTATTGGAGCAGAGTTTTGAATTGACTCTGTCTTTCACAGCAGCACATGTCAGGTTTATGTTTGAATCCACTAACGGAGCTCACAGACATTTAATGTTGACTGAAGGGGGATGAGGGACTCACACTTTCCCACTGTTGACTGAATGGGGGATGAGGGACTCACACTTTCCCACAAACTCTCACATTCTCAAAGTCTGCACTACAACTAGCATTTCAAGGTCCAGCACTTCTTAAAGTGTAGGGCGTGGCCCCCCGATTGAGCAAAATTAGACCTCGACAAATGGACCAAAAGTATCAGTCCCACAGATATACGTGCAACTCGGTAAGATTTATAGAACACAGCAGAAGGCTGCAACAGAACTGACAGACTGATTTGATTTTGTAAAATTATAACTAAGCAGTTCTCTAACAATCATGCCACGGAACCCAAGTTAAACCTGAGGCTTTTGGTTGTGACATAAACAGTCCAGGATGAAGCAAAGCTGATATGCTATCGCTATGACATTAAGAAATGTATCTAGGTTGTTTTTTTTGGCTCCAGTTGACCACCACCCATAGTTTGAGCTCCACTTTACCATCTATACCACAGAACCGATTCAATCGTTAAAGTCTGAGACACCAGACGTCAGACTTTACAGAAAAAAAAGTTCATCAAACACTTCACACGATAAAAACTCAAAGCCGCGGCTCCGCCTCGTCCTCTCACTCTGTCGAGCTTCAGTCGCTCATCGTAAACATCTCAGCGGATGATTTATGTAGTTGCTGTTGCTCCGTGACCTCAAAATCCGCCCCATCCATACTGCACCTGTCACTGTGCCACTGCCTGTGCACTTACTGAAAACCGAGCCATCCGTGCAAAATGGCAGTTTTCCACCCACGCAGAGAAGGAAAAAAAAAAAGAATCCAAGCCATTCAGAGGCAACGGTCGGAAACTCAATGATATGTAGAGCAGGTGTGCGCGGGTTTGGTGCTCCTCTAACGAGGGAGCTGAACTCCACGCACCACTGACCGTAACATCTGTCGATGCGGGAGTTTGTTTTATTCTGCCTCAGCATCACGACTGGTGCCGCAAGAGACCAGAGACGATGAAGGACTTAAAGACAGAGACGCAGATGGAGCTTCCAGGCTCCTAATTAAGATGCATGAGAGTCCAGCAGAGGGAGCAAGAGTGAGAAGAGAGACGGTTCTCTGCCTGGTCCAAGGTGAGGCCTCGGTCTGACCCACAGGAGCGTCCCAGGTGGGAACCCTAACAAGCTCATCAAGCCTAACCAAGCCTAACAGAGCTCATAATCAGTGTCATTATGATGTTACCCTGAATGTCAGGGAGCAGCTTCATGTGCCAACAGTGGCAAAGGCTGCCACCTGCTGCTAGCAACTGAAAGCACATGACTAATGCATACGTCGAGATATTTATAGTCACATCAATCAAAAATGTGTTGTGAAAAGAAAAAGTTTTCTTCTGTTCAGATTCAGTTGGGTAAATTTTCAGCAGCGCATTAGCAGAGTTCACTTGTCACAAGAGCGAACGGTGCCCTCTCGTGGTCACATATTACAGTGTATATGTTTCATAGAGAATATAATTTACAGGACCAGACAAACTACTAAAAACAAGTAGTAACTCAGTCTACTTACACTCTCCCATCGGTTAATTGTATGTTAGGCCTTAGTTATCATTGTTGCTAACGTTAAGCTATTTCTGACCCATCTTTTAAAAGAATGTTGTGCTTTCTTTGTTTTATTTTGATGTGTCTGTTTTGCTCACTTTGCAGGGTATGAATTATTTTATTTATTTTTCATTTAAATATTATCAAAGGTTAACATTTAGCATTTCTTAATAACACAAATAAAACCTTAATCATCCTTGTCTTTTTCTTGGGAAATGTGAGACATCAGTGGCAGAGAAATACATATGACAAACAGAGGTCGTTTAATTTTTTGAGACAATTTTAGTTAACATGTACATATTAAACGATACATGGATTGACCTCTCGGAAGTATGTCGGGATGGTTTGACCACCAAGTAAACCCGATGGTGACGACTTTCAGCGGAGCAATGCTACCACCTAGTGGCCACTAAAATCATAAAATACCAGCTAAAAAACACAGGAACACTTAGGGAAAAATACGCAGGATAAGAGTGTATTTACAAAAGATTCAACAGTACATCAAAGTTTTATAAAAACTGCAAAGGCAGAACAGATCAGCTCTGACCCAAACCCTTACAAATAAAAGATATCTAGATAAAAAAACACATCATCATGTGACTGGAGACACAGCAGTGGATGGTGATGAGGTCACTCTGGAATCCCACACAGTGTTGTGAGACGATTCTGTTGACGGAAGAAAAATGAGTAAAATGAACAAATACCTATATTTTAATGTGCGACAGTGACAAAAGAGGAAAAAGGTGGATGAAAACACACGGCACCTGCAGCAGACGGATGCTCTTCAGAGCAGTTTCATCAAGCTGTGACAGGTCCACTGAGTCCATCTGACTCCCCAACAGCTGAATGCTCTGGTTTAAAATAGAAAAATATCAAATATGTCACAAAGTCCTGACGGCGAGGGTTTTTATTTTTCCACTACAGTTAAAACAAAGTCCTGTTTGATCCACAACTTTCAGTCGAACGCAGTTCACGACTCACCTCTCCGTTACCGATGGGGACGTTGACGATGATGTCCTGGTCTCCCGCCGCGATGGGAGAACCATTGACTGAAATGCTGTAGACCCTCTCTTTGTGGCGAGGAACTCTCACGGCAGGGGTCTTAGGAAGTCTGAACAAAACAGACACAGTTGAGTCAGAACTGTGAGGAGTGGAGATTTGTTCTGACTAAAATTAAGAATTGTAAGGTTTGGTGGTGTACAGTGTCACAGAGGAACAGGAGAAACCCAGACCAAGAACATATCTTATAACATATATAAGAAAATATCTTTCTCCAATGTTTAACTTTTTAGATAAAACAAACATGATGTTTGTGGATGATTCCACGTGTTCAGGTAAGATAAAACAAACATGATGATGTTTGTGGATGATTCCACGTGTTTCACAACATAAGGCAGGTTTACTGCATGTTGTCAAAACCGCATCACAGTTGAAAAGCTGTAATGGTTTCCTGTGCAAATATGTCTTCAGTAATAAGAAGCCAGAGTTTCACTGTTCAAACCGCAGCTCAGACATTCACTGTCAAATGACCACCAGGTGAATCGGGGCCAATATTTGTCCACATAAAATATTTAAAAAAACATTTCATCTCTGTCCAAACTTGAATTAACTGAATTATTGCTGTCTTATTCACAGGGGGTCTTTGACCACTCTGGCTGCACTCTGTGTTTACCTGGGGTCGAAGCGTGGGGTGATGAGAGGAGTGGCTCCCATGATCAGAGAAGAATCCATTATAGAGCGAGCGGGCGTCACCAACAGCTTCCTGTTTGATCTGAAGCCACAGAGAATGAGCGTGAATTTGATTTGATTCATTGACACACTGAAATATATTTCACAATACTGCATCAATATTCTATAGCACAGATTTTTTTAAGAACAGTCCAACATTCTTGGCATTGGTTCATTTTACATTGCATTTACAGTATCTCTTGAATTCCAGGCGACCCCACAGGGGGTCGTGACCCCAAGATTGAATAACATGACCCTAACTTGCTCTAATTAACCAACATCTATCTGGTGTCCTACCGTCTGAGGGGGTTATCCTGCTTGGTGACTGTCAGGGCCCTCGCTTTCTTGGATGTGGTCGGGGGTCTCTTTGTGGCTCTCCCCTTACGTAAAAAAAAACCAAACAAACAGCATTTTAACAACAAAAAGATCAGACTTTACTTTTCTCTAATGACAATAAAACCCGGCCCCTCACCTTTCTTGATGTTCCAGGACTGTTTTCATCCTCTGGCCCAGACTTGGCTACAGTCTTTTTCTTCACAGCTGTTTTTTTAATAACATGATTAAAGACATTTAATTAGTCTTCAAATATTAAGTAATTCACTGGGTTAAATTAGATTAAATCTCATATAATGTAAACACAAAAGGGGTCTGGACCTACTCTTCTTCACTGATTTCAGGAGGACTGCGTGGTCTTCAGCCACAACACTCTCAACAATAGCAGCTTCCTCCTGCCTCTGGGAACAGTTATGACAAACACTGAATCAGCTCAGGGACATTCAGGAATATTCACACTGCAGATCACAGGCCACCGAGGAACGTTCACTCACCTTGGAAGCGTCCACCTCTGGTGTCTTTGGTTTCTCAGGCTCTACAAAGACAAACAAGTGGTTTTTCAGGGAAGAATTAAAGATGAAAAAATGATGTGCAAAAAAGTTGTTTTTTGCCCCTAAATGTATTGAAAAAAATTTCAAAAATACTATTATAATATTTGTGCAAATCCTGTGTCTAAGCTGCATTTCAACAGAAGCAGGATTGTGTTTCGGTTTTCCAGGTGAATGGCAGTATTGGTGCTTTCTTACTGCAGTACTCCACCCAGGGCATCAGTCTGACAGCTTTGGGGAGTTTGATCAGTGCCATGTTGTAGCAGTTGTTAACATCTTGCAGCAGCTGGTTGATCTTTTCCTTCAGTTGTTCAACAGTGCCCTTCACTGTGAAAACAAGAAGAGTGGAGAGGTGATGATCGGAACACCAGATAACCGGAACAACGCAGGAAATACCCTCATTTAATTTTCAAAGACTCCTATGTACAACAACATTTAAAACAAATGTCAATGACATCCAATTTCTCAGAGAAAATGTTCATTAAATCCACAAATCACATTTTGTACTTGACACTAACAAATACAAAATGTCAACACAATGTTTACAAAGAACACAGCACCTAGTTTAGAACTGAAAAAAGAATTGTCAGTGTTTTTAATCACCTTCGCTGTCGAAATCCTCCAAGAACCCTTCGAGTTTCGCTGATTTTGGATTGTTTTTCCGTTGTCTGGTGGTTCGTTTCCGCGGCGCCATGTCTGTACAAGTACACAATTATTAAAAGACCAATACATTTAACACCTTTAAAAATGTGAAATGACAATTCTTCCATATTTCACTTCCATGATGTAAAGTAACATATACTAAAAGTGGGGACGTATACAGGCCGTGTTGATGCTTGAGACGCAGACTATTCAATGAAGTTAACAGGTAACCAGCGGTAGCAAGCTAACCGTTAATGCTAAACACTTAGCTTAGACTACCTGGGACGGTGTGATGTCTACTTTACTTAAACTAACCGTTTGTAAAAGGCGGGCCGTTTCAGTAAATACTACAAAGACTGTTTGGTTGTTATTTTGTAACTAACATATATTTAATAAACGTAAAAAGCTTCTTACCTCTGTTTTCCTCTTCGCTTCCTCGGACTCTCAGATATTTCTTCCTTCACAAGGCAGTTTTCAAAAATTCGCGCAAGGCGGAGCCAATGTCCAGCATCGACCAGTCAGAGTGCACGTTTCTGCAGCGTCATTTTCTGACCATTCGTTACGTTAAACGTCACGAGTTCGCACCCGGAAAACGGAAGTGGCGTATGAACAACATGGTGGAAACTGATGTACTGTGTAGCAAAACAAACGGTTTGAACGTCTATAAAGTTCGTTTTGACCAATATGTTTTCTCATTAGAGGCGTAAAACAAAATAAAAATAATTTTGTTTTGTTTTTTGTACATTTAGAGATTTTTTCTGCGTTTTGTCAATGTCGTAGTTTGGGTGCAAAAATGTCCAAACCTGGAGTGGCGTCGCTCCACGAAGCGCTACAGAAAAGCTTCCAGGGTCTGGAGAACAATCAGAAGATATGGACGAGTTTGTTGGCAGAGTGCGTCCCTCTGCTGGAGTCCCTGGGGAATCTGGCCGAGCAGTCCAAAGCTCTGTCCAATGTCCAACTGTCCATTACGCCGCTCAGAGTGTTCCCTGACCTGGAGGACCGTTTACGCTTCAAGCTCCAAGAAGCCATGGACACAGTGCTGGTAAAACTGAACGAGAAGATGTGAGTAGGTGGAGTGAGGATCTGCACTAGGTGTCATTAATTTTGCCCAAGGAGTGGTAATTGTATAATATTGTACAGTGCTGCTCCCTCTGTGATTGGCTGTATAATAAATGTCTGTCTTTTAATGTATTTTTGTGTATAATCTTTTTTTTATCAGGATGATGTGGAAAATAAATTATAGTCTAGCTAAATAGTCAAAATTAACCAAGGCAAAGATTAAGTTAAAGAAATCATTAAAAAGTATGAGTGTCAACACTTTGTCCTCCGTTTGTCCAGGTCCTCCTTTCAGTCTGTCCGAGACGCCATCACCAACCACGTCTCTGGAGTCGTGCAGCTTTATGAGCAGCTCACAGACTCCCTGGATCTAAACTGTGTGACAGAACGCTCTGCCACCGCCCCGTCCATCGCTGACATGATGGAGTGGCTGCAGGACGCAGGTCGTCACTATCAACGGCAGTATCCTCCATCCTCCATGTTTTGGTGTCCACTGGAAGACATCTGTGGGTTAGGGTTTTGGGCGTCTTTTGTCCCTTAACTTGTTTATGCAGATTTATGAAGAGGAAACTGTTGCTGCAGACGCTGAGGCCTGATGACCTCACTCTGATGGAATCTGCCCCTGGTCGATGGAAATCCTTGGCGTCTCAGAGCGCAGAGGACAACATCACAGGTCATAAAGGAGTAGTTCACACTTTCTTTTTTTTACTTATAAAGGTTTTATTGTTTTATCAAAGCATTGATATTTTATTGGAAAATATGATTCCATACGATGACTATAAAGACTGTTTTTCTCTTTTCATTTTCAGATGCATTTTTTAAAGTTTCCTTCTTCATGGAATCCTGATGAGAGCCGTCGAGAGGAAGTGAAATGGAAGTTTGGATTTGTTTATCAGTGAATGAAAAAACTGGCAAAAAGTGATATTTTTTTTCTACAGACTGTGTACAATACACTCTGACTTTTTTATTTTCTTTTACATGTGTAACAAATACAAGCTCAGTGAAGGAAGGCTACATGTGTCAGATTAGGAGGTAGAAACATTTTCAGAGAAAATTCACTGCAAATCTTCTACAACACTGTAGTTTCAGGGCAGACACAGCACGACAGGAATTCAGGTTTACTATTTTCTGTGAAAATCACATGGATTATATTTTTGATTTTATTGTTTGTGTGAGTTTTGTAGGAATTACAAAAAAGTGTTTTTAATAAATTTCAGTGAATGTGTCCATGTGGTGCAACTTCCTATCTACAAAAAGGGGGCGCTACAAAATAACTCCCAAAGACCAGTGTTCTGATGTTTGCAGAGGGAATCCAATTACAATCTGAATTACGTTTGAATCACTGTTTTTCAATCCTGGGGTCGCAACCCCATCTGTGGTCGCCTGGAATTCAACTGGGGGTGACCATAATGTCTCAAAATGGATTAAAAAAATGTTTTCACTTTTACAGTTAAAGGAAAATGGATTTTCTTCTTCTACTTCTATCACATTGCATCAAAAAACAAAAATGTCAAACAAACTCAAATGTATGAAATACTGAAAAGGTCTTAAATTACAAGGAGACGTGATCAACTCAGCAAATATGTATAAATGCTAATCAGCAATAAATAAAATTTGAGGAAAGAAAAAAAAAAGAACCAGAAGATGATCAACTTTGAAAAGTTTCATCCTCACCTTCTTCCCAGAGACTGTACATCAGAAATGGACAACGCAACGTCCGCAAACACTCCTTCAGACTAGAAAACAAGAACAGCCGTTTGTTATGAGTTCAGTCTTTGTCAGTTCAACATGATGTCATTACAACCAAGTCTGAAAGCAAGTCAGCCAACAGAGAGGAGTCAAGTCTGAGTCAAGTCCAGGTCTTCTGGGAACACCGACTTGAGTTCCCAGGTAGACATGTTTTAGTGAAGTCCCAGAGTTTCAAGCTTCAAGTCGTCATTAACTATTCATACACAGTGAGTTTAGAGTTTGAGTCGTCAGCACTTTTTGACTGCAGTACCACAACACCGCCACTTCCTCTTCCAGAGAGCCACGTGATCAACAAGTGATGAAGACTTCAAAACTCTTCAAGGAAATGTCAATGATTTATCAATAAGACAGAGAAGTCGTCTAATTTTCACACTGACAAAACCAATGGAGCACTTCCTGTTTCTTTTTCCAAGTCCATTTCCTATGTACAGATTCTGTTTCTTCTTCATCTTCGTCCTCCTCTCCTTCGTCTTCCTACACATACTCCTTCATTGGGACACTGTTGGAGGTGATGGGTTTCGGAGGATCTGGTGCTGTAACAGGGGAGTTAGCGAAGCTGCGGCCGATGTAGCCCCTGCGGTACCGACCTCCTCTCTCCATGAAGGGGCAGGTGCTGCAGAGCACGGCGCCGCTGATTATCAGGATCACCGCGGAGGCCCAGCCCAGATATATGGCCTGGCCCAGCTCTCTTTTGTACTGTACGGGCACATTGGGGTTGTAGAATTCCTGGATGACGGTGTTGGCGGTCCAGGAAATGGGAATCAGAACACACAGACCGGTGATGATGAAGAGAATACCGCCGGCAAGGGCGATCCCGGCCTTGGCCCGGCGGTCGTCTCCGGCACAGGTGGTGCACTTCATGCCGCAGCAGGACACGGTGCAGGAGAGCCAGCCCATGAAGATGGCCAGACACATGAGGGCGCGGGCCGCCTGGATGTCAGGAGGCAGGGCCAGCATGGAGTCGTAGGTTTTACACTGCATCTGGCCCGTGGTCTGGTAGACGCAGCCCATCCAGATGCCTTCCCACGTGATCTCCGAGGTCAGGATGTTGTTGCCGATGAAGGCCGAGACCTTCCACTGCGGCAGGGCCGTCACGGCGATGGCCATGATCCAGCCGGTCACCGCGCAGGTGAAGCTGATCAGCTGCAGCCCAGTGTTCACCATGGTCGGAGAATCCTCTCCACACCGTCTGGGTCTTCTCCAGGGATCGTCGATGTCTTTCAGAGTTGAAGTCAAAGTTTTGCTCTTATCCGTCAAAACCTACTGCTTCCACGTCCCTCGTCTGTCTGTTGTCGAGCTTCTCAAGGTCCTCGCCCCAGCCTCACTTTGTCAGCAGCCATTTCTGTCTCTTTTTCTCCTTCTCTTCAACATCTGCTCACGTGCCCCCCAACTCTTGAAAGCTTATCCAGATATAATCGCCAGCTTTCCCTCCACACTCATTCACTTCTTTAAAGGATCACAGACAGAGGCTCGCTCACTTTCCCCTTTATTTTTTCCACTCCTGAGCTTCGATCAATGCATTATTGAGTAGCCAATAGCGGTGTGGCCACCTGTGACAGTCTGGAGAAGAAGGATCAATCAGGTCTCACAATCCAGGGCGCTGTCGGAGAAATGGATCTGAGGAAGTCTGTGTTTTAGGTCCGTACGAGTCGACGAGTGCCTCCGATGGTGGATCAAACCCCTGGATGGTGGCGCTGCAGTGTATTTCAATGCCGCTCTCCTGGTTTGGGTGTAGTCTTACCTGTTTGGATCAGACCAATAGAACCTGATACTCAGATTCAAGGCCACTGATGCTGCTGTGAGTGTATCCTGTCACAGCAGGTGAAGCTCGATGTGAGAGAGGAGAAAAAAAAAAAATCAACAGGTTTAGGTTTTTTTTTTCACCCCGTCCTCAAAATCCTTTTTTCTGTCCTCTTTGATAAAAACTGATATCGACTGGAAACGTCCAAGTCAATTTGTTTTGGTCGGATACGAAAACAGGAGAAAGCAGCTTCATCAGACACCGCTGCTGCTGCCGCTGCTGTTTCCACATCAAGTGTGTCCTTGTTAACAATAAACACGCTCGGCCCCAGCTTCGACGAGGCCACTTCAGGCTTCTCCCTCCCCCCTTTACACCCTCCCTCCTTTGGTATTCACACGATCCAAATGAGTGAATCCGGTTCCAGCAACAGCATAAATAACAAATCAGGTCCACGTCCTCAGGCTCGGAGGTAAACACAGCATCAGGTCACAGACTTCAGCGCAGGTTGTGATGAGAGTGTGTGGTACGGATGGAGGTGAAAGAGGGGGAGACCACAAAAGAGGGTGTGATGGATGGAGTGTGTGTCGGGATCAGTTAACACAAAAACAACATGGACAAAGGGGGGGGGTCACACTGTGTGTGCGCCTCAATACCAAACAGGGTGCGGTTTAAAGGAGGCTTCCACTGAAAATGTGGCTTTTTGTCCGACACAGCAGGGAACGACAGAAACACAGTAGGGTCACCGTTTCTGGAACAATGAGGTCAAAGGGTTAAAAATCCACAGATCTACAGGTCAAAGCTGTAAAAGACGGACGCCCATTGACAGGAAGATCACAAAACAATTGAGTTTTTTCATGTTTAAAGTCCAGTGACACATGATCCCTTGTACAACACAACCGAACAAATACAGTTGTGAAAACACAGAAACACAAATGAAATACACACCATCCTGATGGGAATCAGATCGTGTGTGTACCTGTAATGCAAACCTGAGGTTGAGAACCATTAAAACACAGTAACAAAAAACCTATACTGTACGTCAGAAATCGACTCAAAGATTAGTCAAAAAAGGATCTTTTTTTTATCCTGTGCCTTAAGATAAAACATTTTATCCCAAATAGCAATAATTAGCCAAAAGAAATCTGCCAGAATATATTGTAACTGCTCAACAATGGTCATAAATGATAAAGTACAAGAAAACTAAAGTTACTAAATGTGAAGAAGAATTTGAGCTCTGATGGACTTGCTAGTTTCCTTGGAAAACTTTAAGTGTTTAAAAAAAAAAATCAATATTAAGGTGAAAAAAGAGCCGTAACTGTTCTCTGACTGTGTGTACATTCCACTGAAGCCTGGGTTTAACATTCTGCTGATGAATTAAATATAGCGGCACCGGCACCGTGATCTGGGCTTCAGGTTTCATTTCTTCTGTCGCCAGTGTTCTCCACGGTTACCGTGGCCATGACAACCAGTTGGACACAGGAAATGGGAGTCAAGAGGAGGAAGATGAGGAGGAGGAGGAGGAGGAGGACACTCAAAGAGCGGCAGAGGAAGGTGACACATACCGGGGATGGTTAACCACACAAATGTGTTTCTACTTGGTTTACACCAGCAGGAGTTGGTGTTTACTACGGTGACCGTGTTTGACACGACACCACCCTACGTTGAAAAAGTAACAATATCAACAAAAGGGCAACTAAATTACAATAACGTTATGATAAACATCAACATTAAACGTTACCACTAGACGTCGACAAAACAAAAGACGGCACTGACATGGCGGACACGTTCTCTTAAAAATATGAATAAGTGTATAATATATGGGTTATATTTGTTTGTGTTTTTAAATAAACTAACTTAAACGTCAAAAACATTAATTAAAGTACCTTTATCACCGTTTGGGGCAGGAAATGTCTCGTTTATTAAAAACATTAATTAAAGTACCTTTATCGCCGTTTGGGGCAGGAAATGTCTCGTTTATTGTTCCGCGTCGTTTTCAGGAAACCTGCTCCTGTTGTTAACGGTGCCCTCTAGTGGAGAAACATGGGAATGTCCATAAATACAGAACCTCGACAATGACGTCAGAATCCACAGAGGAGCTCGTTTTCGTCATATTTTAACATTTATTCTGAATATTTATTAAACGTGTACTGTTTTTTAACATTCAAAGAGTGAGATTGGATTAATTTGTCAATAATTTGAGGGGAAAACTTCCAAAGAAGCCATGACTGTACAGTTGATTCATTAAAAGATGATGATACACGAACTCTGTTTTAGGCATAAAATACCAATTTATTACTTTGCACATTAACACAAGAATTCCCTGCAGGCTAAAAAAAATGATTTGAACATGTCACATAAGAATAGCAATAACAGTAAGTGAATGGCCCTCTGCTGGCGGCTTGAAGTTAACACATGCCCTTCTCAAACATAACCGCTCACAAGTGGTAAAGAAAGGGTTCTGGAAACGTTCTGTTAACTGAATTAGATGTTTCCATCTCTGGTTCTATTGCTATTAAAACAATCGCACACAGCTTCAGAGACCACTAGGTAACAGAAACAAACAACAAAAACAAAGCAGAGCGATAACAAACCCCCCCCGCCCCCCAGAAACAAGAAAGGAGCAAAAAATAAACAGGAAATAAAATGAAAAATACACAATACACAATGTGAAATTACAAATCTGTTAAGATATTACAATATATCAAAGTTAAAAAATAATTCATGCTCTCATTTTAACTGGGGTACACCAGGAAGTGTGGGTCCGTTTGTTGTTAAACTCAGGGGGGAAAAAAGGTTAAAAAGAGGTAAAAGCCCACCTCCATCATTCATCACAAAAAGGTGTGGCGACAGGTACAAACTGGGAAGGAGGAGGAGTCTCAAACTGAGGAGAGGGGCCCCGGGTCTTTAACGTGGGTCCGTGTTTGAAGAAAAGTTTACCTCGTTTGAATTTGGACACGACGCAAAGATGCCGTCGGCCCTTCGCCTCAGAATAAAAAAAGGTTTGTACCTCCCAAAAATGTATGGACAGTGTAGGAATCTTTAAAATACGTCTTATATAGAGAGACTGGACAAATATTGCTAATCTAAAATAGTTCTTAAAACATTTACCCCCCAAAGAAATGTTCCTTTTTTTGTAATAAATATGATTCCAATTTTTTTTTTGTAAAAGAGGACAATACTCTGGCATGCAGGCGAGCAAAGTCTAAATAAAAAAAAGAAGAAATTCTACACATCTATTTCCACCAAAATGCACAACCCCACTGATTGATACAAGCAAATAAAATTAACACAAGAAAAAAAAATTATATATAGATATATAGATATATATGTATATATAAGGAGAGAGAAGTACAGAGACAAAATAGCAAAAGTAGACCAAAGACCACAATGAGTAGAATTATAGCTTTGTTTTCTTTAAACCACATCAGAATTATCAGAAGACGGTGAATATTGCTTTATGTCAGGGAGTGATTAAAAAAAAAAAATCAGATCTGCGTGAAATGAGGAATTAACTGGGAAAGAAAAAAAAAGAAAAAAAAGGGATTTACAGTAATGTTCAGATAAAGTGAAGCTTCAGAAAGAAGTACCCAAAACACGCAGTTCAACTGACTTGGGATAAAAAGAAATTGGATATTTTCTGTTACAGTAAATTTTTAAAAACTGGTTGCAAACCAAAAATGTCATGTCATCACTTTAACCGTTTGTCTTGAATCCAAATGTCTCAAGACACATTTCTTCTTCTTCTGTTTTTTTCTAATGTATGGATCTCAAACTAAAATGGGGATTTCTGAGATTTTCTATGGACAGATTTGACCGGGATTTTCAAGTGCAACCCCGATTTACAGCTTAGTTTTGGGAACTGTTTATGGCGAAAACTAAAGGTAGTTTCAGATAAAGATGTTTCTTTTAATTCCCGACCAGCAGAAAACCTCGGGTCTTTTCCTGCAGCTTCACTTCTGTTAACAAATGTCTACGTCCACAAATATGGTCAATGTTCTGAAACCAGTGCATTAAAAAAAAACAAAACAATAACCCACTCCCTTTAAAAAAAAAAGTTTTTTTGAATACCATGCTCGGAGCGCTCCCTTCCGATCCTCCTCCTCCGCCCCCCCGCCCCTCTGACTGGACACAGACGACTGACGTTCTCCTCCTCCCCCCTCCACTCACGCCTACACCAGGAAAAGTGCTCAAACTCATTCATAGTAAACCTGCAGCTTTACGGGTGGTTTATTACAAAAGAGTTCATTTAACCGAGCTGCCCCCCCCCTGCTGAGGCGTGCACCCCAAAGAAACCTCCTCATCGCAAAATAAAAGCCTTCAGAATGTTCTGTCCAATCCAAACGCAGTGCTTGCACACCAATAGGGGGCAGTGCTTTTGTTTACTGTCAAGGTGTAAAATCCAGTGTTAAAAACGCAGTAAAAACAGGAAGCCAACACTTTAACATGGGTATACTTCAAATACACACTCAAGATAATATAAAATTCATTGTATTTTTTTTCCTTTTCTTATAAAAAAGCCTACAAATTCAACTCATTGTCAATCACAAACCTGCAGTTTAAACAAATCCCTTAAATCTGAGTCTGTGGATTACAATCCCTGAATTCCCTCCATCTTTCAGATTAAAACCAAATGATGTCAACTGACTGATCCACAACTGCAGTACCTCTGTTCAACCACCTGGAGTGCTACACAATATCAGAAATTTGCCACCATCCATTTTTACTACAACCATAGAATGTATATAGGAAATGGATTTATTTCAGGTTTTAAACCACAAAAGATAAAAAAAAAAAAAAAAAAAAAAAAAAAAAAAATCCCCCTCAGTGTTTAAACAAAACATAACAGAAAATTTTGAAATTAGGGTCCCAGCTGGCCATGAGTGGCACTGCAGACAACTGTTTTTCAGGCCATTTCAAAAATGGGCTCAGTATTTAGAATCATTTTCATTTCGATTTGGTGGAAAATAGACAATAAAGCAAAACCGGAGAGAGATTATCACGAGACCAAACATAGTAATGCCCTGTATTCTTTCCATGAAATGTGATCGAGACGCAACACATTGGCCACCGTGTTTTACCGAAGTAGCTCGAAGCTAACGACGGGCCAAAATATCTCCGGAAAGTTGTTTGATGATTTAAAAAAAACCCATTGCCTTCAATTAAATTCATAAGTGGTTCCTTCTAAAATCGGCAGAGCTCAATCTCGCCAACTTCCACCACATCATCCATTCCTTATATACGGTCTATGGTGAGGAGCGACTGAATTAGCATAAATCCGTCCACCCTGGGGCCTACGTCTCCTCACTATTATCCAGAATAGCTGAAAAAAAAAAAAAATAAAAACAATTAAAAAAAAAAGGAAACTCCTTAACCTGCAGCTTAACAACTGAAGTCTATTCCTGAAGTCGCACTAACAACTATATACCTGGCTTTGCTGCCGTCCTTAAAATTTCATCACGTTAAGAACAACATCGACAACAACAACAACAACGATAACAACAACAACATCGAGGGTAAACTACGAATTCTAAACAACAGCTTTTTTTTTCTTTTAAAGATAACCACAAAACATCTTATATTAAACTTTTTAACAAATCTGCTTTGTTGATTCATATGTATAAATGCATAAAAGGTAGAGCGAGAGAGAGAGATAGACAGAGAGAGAGAGAGAGAGAGATTGTAGAGTGAGCTCTGTTGCTTGCCTAGCGTCCCGGGTCAGTGCAATGAGTTGGCCGGTGTCAGCAAAAGGAGACCTCTATCGAAAGTTTTGCAAAGCATCTTGGTTTCTGGCTCTTTAAACTGAAGACGAAAAAAAAAAGAAAATTAAAAAGCAAAAACCAATGGCATGGTCTAATAATCTTTTCAGAGAATCAGGTCCAAGAAAGAAAAATAATCCTGTCTCTCACACAGGAAACAAGGTTGACAAAAATCACAAATCTGGTGTTTTTAATGCCGTCGCTCATTCATCAGGTCCCAGTGCTGAGCCAATCACAGGCCAGACCAGTTACTACTGCTACACGTCAGACCCTGGAGTCACGTCTCACTCAGAAGAATCAAGTTGCTAATTTTTTTTTTTTTTTTTTAGGATTAACAGACAAGTACAAAAAAACAAAACAAAAAAAATCCAGTAATTCGAAATATTAGTAACCGTTTTGTCTTAAAGTGTGCAGTGGTGTATTATGAGTTGAAACAGTAGCAGTGGAAAAAGGATCCACAAGGTGGCAGTAATGCAACCGAATGCCTTGCAGGTGCTGTTAATATTGAGAATCTGTCGAAAGTGTAGTTCTCGTCACCGCCTGTTGGCGTTCCTCGTCCAAAAAAAAGAAAAAGAAAAAAAAGAAGCAACTCGAGCCGCTTCAGCACAGACGTGACCCAGGCCTGACACAAATACCTAACAACCAGCGGCCTCTACAGGAAGCCAGCTTTAAGTCATCTGTCTGAAGAGTTCCTCTAATATAATATGCTTATTTGTACTGTATGTGTGAGTATAAAAACAAACAAATCTGAGGCATTTACAGCAGTTATATCTCCTTGATTTCCCTTTTACAATTCAGTGGCCTGCCATCGCACACACACACACACACGACACACACTCTCAGACAGCAGTACAGGTATATACAGAGAGGTTGACACACACACACACACACACAGATACGCGCCTATCGTTGCCAAAATGGGAGGAAAAGTAAGTATGGGCGTGGACACCCTGGTCACCTCGCTTGTAAAAGGAGAAAAAGGTTAAAACACACACGCTTGTAAAAAGGAAAAAAAAATATAATATATATGTGAATATATATATCATTCTTAAAACTTCGACTCCCCCTCTGTCTCTGTTTGTGTAGATTTCCCTCCCGACTACCCGATAAACCCAAGACCTTGTGACAGATTTTTTTTTTTTTTCGCCCAAAGGGGCTTTGAGGTAAAAGTAGATAAGAGTCCTGCTTAGCTGGGAGAGCTTCAAAGAGCTGCACTGGCACCGGACCGCACCGAGCTGCTCCCGCGCCCTTTGTATGTTAAAAACACAAGAGTGCAGACATTCAAATAGAAAAAAAAAAAAAAGTAAAATAATGGCTCAACTTGTAGTATATATACTGTATATATATATGTATATATATGTATGTTTTTTTTAAAACATTTTCCTTTAGTGCACGGTGAACCTTTGAGGTTCCGAGTGCTGAATTGCTGGTAAGAAAAAAGGCGACTCGAATAGGAACGCTGGTTGGAGATTGTTCCGTGTTAATTTAAAAAAAAAAAAAAAGAAGGAAAGAATCTGCTGCACGAGAAGAAAATGGGAGACGCAGCAGATTCTCCTGTCCAAGAGCCGCTTTGGTGCAGACGGGTGAGAATGTAGGGTGACTGTGAAGAGTGGGAGACGGGTGATGAGGAGAGAGGAAGAGGTGAGAGGTCAAAGAGACTGGCAGATAAAAAGTACAAACGACAAAGAGGGAGGGGGGGACAAGGGAGGGAGGGGGAGAGATCTGAGGGTGGAGTGGCTGACTTGCTGGGTATCTCAGGCGAAGTACATGGTGTGCTGGGTGTCATAGTGGATCTGAACGGCCTTGGCCAAAGCCTGGGGGTCCCGACCGTTACTCTGGCCCGACACATGGCTGCCCTCGGCGCTGAGAGGGAGGAAAAAAAAAAGCGTGGAATACAGTCAGTCCACATCCCTATGTTTTGACATATTTTATCAAGCCAAATAGAGCAAAGTAGCTACAAAACTTGTTAGTGTAGAGGTAGCTAAAAGAGACTGAAAAAAACTCATAGATTTAGTCAAAACCAAAAGTTTTTCTCTGATGCCTTTTGACCATTTCTTCTATAAATGTATTTAATTTATTCTTAAATAAATGACAAATTTTTATTTTATGGACACATGGTGTTAAAACAAGGACAAATATAATTTATAAAGATGTAAAAAAAACCAAAATAAAATTGGACATTAGTGGGAGGACAACCAGACCCCTGAGCGTCTCTCACCTGTCGTGGTCTTTGTCCACCAGGTGGTAGCGTGCTCTAAAGGCCACCAGCCTGGCATAGTAGGCCGGCGCCGGGATGGCGACGGCGCGAGAGCAGCGGGCGCAGGTAGGGAGGTTCTGATCCAAACGGGAGGAGACACAGAGGGAGCTGCACTGCTGTTCAGATGAATGGCTCAACAGGCTGTTCAGCTCAGGCTTTTTTTTATTTATTTTTTTTAGCAAAGTAACAGCAGCCGACATGAGTTTTTATATATTTTTTTATGCTGCATTTGTAAGTACTTTCCCTCAATCTCCTCTATCATGAGTGCTCTGAGAGCCACATTATCTGCCTGGCTCACAGAGGCATTCCAGTAATGTCATTTTAGTCATAAAGCATCATTACTGCAGTAACCACACAGTCAAACCGCTGCATTCAGGCCCAGTTACAAGAGCCTTTTACCGCAATATCTGTTTTATTGCAAGTAAATGAGTCAAATCTAAAAACCAAGGAACTAAAGAGATCCACACAGAGATGAAACCAGCTTCATTTGGGTTAGGAAATAATTATCTCATGTGGAGGTTTTATTTACATTAATGAAAAACAGTTCTGGAGATCCCATCATCTGTAAATAAATGTTTGTTAATCTATTGCAGCTACATTCAAACATATTGTTGTGATTGGTCTTTAGCTCATGTGCTAATGGTTCTACTACCAGACAGGAGTGTGACACCACAAGTGACGAGTCAACACATCAAACTTGAGGCCCACGGGCCAAATCCGGCCCGCCTCATCATCATTAAAATATGGGTGTCTTCAATAAAAAATAAAATGCATCTAATTGATTGATTTTATTGAGTCATCATTGCAGTGTGTGTTCAATATTTCTTGTTGACACACATGATCTACAACAACAGCAGCGTACAGCCCTAGTCTGAATTATTTAATGTTTGATTTATTGGCCATGGACACTGAACACCAGCTGAATATAAATGTGTAACTCTCACCTGGATCCCTGCATGGCTGCACAGGTAGAAATCAAACTCGGACGGATGAGTGATGGTACTGTCCACTGTGGTACCAGCTGGGACGTTGCCACTTTTTCCAACCTGAAGAAAAAATAAATATATGTAAAGCAATCAGTGAGGAGGTTTTTTTCTTTTCTTTCTTTTAGAAAAACAGGTCCAGAAGAATAGTGACCGACCCTCTCAGCTTTGTCGGAGCAGAAGAGTCGAGTGTGGTGACGTTTCTGCACCACGATGTAGGTGATGCCCGGCCTGTAGTCCTCCTCCAGACTGATGCACGCCTTACGGATGGCTATGAGCTCCGGCCACGCCACCTGACAAAGACTCGTAGAATTAGTCACAGATCCACACAACCACCTTCCACGGTGGACGGCTAGTACAGTCAGTTCTAGTCGGTTGGTTAGTCGTGGTCGGTTAGTGAGTCAGTTCAGCGTTCTCACCTGTTTCATCTGTCCCTCAGACACACCGCCTCGATAATAGATGATGCGTGTGGGTTTGAAGCGCGTGGATTTGTAGAACTGGATGAGCAGCTCGCGCACCATGTTGGTCAAGTCCTGGATCACCTCCTGACTGAAGAACTGTTCCTGCAGGTGTGAAGGTTTTGACAGGTTTCAGGAGAAGACAAAGGTAGGGTAGAAAAAGATGTTGAAATAGTAGTAAAAAGAAAAGGTAGAAATCATGAAGACAAAGGTAAAGTAAAGAAATAGAAGTAGTAAAAAGAAAAGGTAGAAATCATTCTACGCAGTATGAAGTTACCTGGGATATGTCTTGTCGGGATGTCTGGACCCGCACGGTGGCACAGTATCTGCTGGGGTGTCCGTCCATGCTGCCCACCACCGCTGCGATGGACGGCTTCTTCCCGTCACCTGCTGGTGGATGTGTCACGTCAGCACCTAAGAAGATGACGGGCTGCTGGAACACAGAGGGTCTGCGCCGAAAACAAGAAGCCAGAACGACACAAAGACTTAGACAAAGAGAAAACGAGCTTCCGCCTAAAACAGCTCAAACCAAAGACATTCCAGACTCACAGCTACACTAAATCAGAAAAAATAAATAAATTCTGCTGGGCTGACCTCTGGTGAGGCACCAGGACGTTGTTGATGCCCCCCAGCTTGGCGTTGATCTTGAGGCAGAGGTTAGAGAGGGTCTGAGGGGACGTCTTCACCACATTCTTCACCTGGACACACTGGGTGGCCATGCCGAGGAGGGTGTCGCCCACACGCTTGACCTCAGCTGCAAGAGTCATGATTGAGAGGATCAATAGGACAACACTGACGACGCACATCGGTCAACAGCAAATGTCAAAACTAATTTATTACGTAATATATATAAAATATTCAAATATCAATCTTCATCAGAATAAATGTCAAATTCTCCAAAATTAAAGAAAAACGTCCTCACCATAGACTGGTGTTTTTCCGGGGAGGATGACCACGATCAGCTGCAGACCCACATACGACAGCTTCAGGTGTTTAAACATGGGCTCCACACTGTCGGCTCCCTGGGCGTATTTACAGAAACATGGCTGGCCCTGGATGGGCATCCCAGCATCCTTTGAGATTTTCCGCAGCTGGTCAGTAAAGCTCCTGAGAAACAGACGTCACAAACACCCGTCAAAAATCAGAGAGAGGTTTTTAACAGAAACCAAAGCATGAAAAAAAAAAAAAAAACAACAACAAAAACTCACTTGAGCAGGTCCTCGCGACACTGTTTCTGTGGCGCAAAACAGGCCACAGCCCACACCTTGATCTCGATGCCGGCGTAGAACTGCTTCCCCCTCATGTCCCACACGCCCTGATTGGGCGTGGCCACCGTTTTGTTCTGCGGAGAGAGTCCCTACTCTCTTAGTCAACCCCACAGTTGTACGAGTTGATACATTAGATATTAAAACAAACAACCGTCGATGATGATTCTTCTCTGTTTGGACTATTTTCAAACCCAGGACCTTCTGCGTCTTACACATCTGCCTTACACGTAGAGGGTCCTGGGGTTTGAAGCCCAGAGGAACCACATACTGATTGGTGCAGATTCTAGATTCTAAAATTTACCAGTAAAGGTGTTTTTTTTTAATATATAAAATTATAGCGCCCTATTTAGTAGTACTGACACTACTTTGTAATGGACTTCTATTTATCAGCCAATCATGATGAGGCTTGACAATGTGTGTGCTCTGAGACCTCATTAGGAGAGTGTTTCCACACAGGGTTTTGGTAGTGAATGCAAATCCACTGGGCAAGAAGTCTTTAATTAGGCAGCTTTGCCAAAGATCGTTAGCAGTTTTTAACCTCTAGAACAGGTGACAGCAATTGGCTGCTGGAGTGTAGCCAATCAGGACGGACAAAAAACAAAAAAACAAAAAACAAAAAAATGTCCATCAAATTAAAATAATTTTTCATGTTGAAACTACCTTACGAGTGATTACATGTCATCAAAACAAAGCAAAAAAAAACAACCAGAAAATTGACTGAAACCTTTCTCATCAGTGATGTCATCACCATCCATACATTTCCTCAAATTTAAATCAAACTGCAAGTCCATCAGCGTGAAATTAAATCAGAAGCCAAGTGTAAAATTTGTGACTAATTTAAAACAGGTGATAACAAAGATGAGGAAAGCCGTCAGTCTACAGTTAAAGACTCTTTTCATTTCTGGATGCGATAAGACTCCATATCCCAGCAGGCCTCTGGCCAAGCAGAAGAGAGAGAGAGAAAGAGAGAGAGAGAGCTGTGATAGGATCTTGAGTTAATTACTCCACTCTCTGTTTTAATTCTGAGGGCTGGTTTTAAATGCATGTCTGAAGCAACAGCCAAAAGTGAGAGAATTTAACCCCAGGGTTCGTTAATGTTTCATCTCAGCAGAATCTCCAAACTCCCATCTTTGAAACTCCTATCTCTGTCAATTCATATGAACTTTTTTTAAACTAATTTTAAGGTGGAAGATAAATTATGGAATCAATTTACAAGGCTTAAGTTAAAGCTCGGTGGATTTGAGTCTTGTCGCCCTCCAGTGGACAACATTAAAATTGACACAAAATCTTTGAATCTCAATTCAGCCAACAGTTTTGTAAAAATGAATTTTATAAAAATAAAAAAACATTTTTTTTAAGGTGTCAATAGATTAGATTTGACACCAATTTTTTTTGTCTACTACTAAGTCAAACCATTGCATTTCTGATGCGTGTAAATCTAGTCAAACGTCTGCACGTCTCATCTGCGCACGCCCAGCATCTTGGATCCTGGGCGGTTCAGAATGGCTAATTTGAGATTCAGAGGGTGAACCTCAGCAGTCTGCAGTTCAGCAACCCCACTTCTCATTTCCTTCTCCACCACAGCCTTCATCTACGTGCACAGTGGCACGATTTGCATGCTTACGAGCCGTGGCAGTGAAGGGAACAGAGTCCAGACTGCTGGAGTGCACCGGAGAACGAGGGCACGAGGCCAGGTCCAGGTCTGGGATGTTGCACATTTGCATATCCAGTTTTATATTATTGTGGGTTTAAAAATAAAAATAAAATCTCAGAGACCTGGATCTTGACCCGTGATCCTGCATTCCCACAGTCATAGTCCCCGCCCAATCCCTCCCCATGCATTCCCAGTCAGGTTTGCACCCCCCGGTGGGTGCAGCCCGTGCCCAGTACTCACCCTGCCCCAGTCCTGTGTCTGTACCCACCCGGCCCCCATACTGCAGCATGGGCGCTGGGAGAACACGCCCTGTGACCTCGGTCATGTCATTGTGAACCACAATGCCAAACTCTTTGAGGTAAGGGTCTGGGCCCCCAACCATGCTGTTGCTTTTGACCTGGTTTGAAAAAAAAAAAAAAAAAAAAAGTGAGTTTGAGGAGGAAACAAGAAATTTGACAATTGGCTGAGTCAACAGCTCAGGTTTTATTCTTATACTTATTCAGCATTTTAGTGGTGGTGTAAAAGTAGACAGTAAAACCAAGTGTTCAGCATGTCATTTTTTTTTTTTAAAGGAAGCTAACACTTGGGAAAGTAACAATACCCTGGAGAGAATTGTTCCTCTGGGACAGTTAGGACTAATGCAAAATAAAACCAATATTTATAAAAAAATAAATATTTATCGTCACATCTTCCACACCAGGTCACAACCTGATTATTTGACTAGTCACAGGACAAATATCCGGGTCCTTTTAAATAATTAAATCATTTTTTGTTGAGGTTTTTGAGGCTAAAAATAACTGATTAAATAATCACACAGCTCTGCACTTGACAAATAAAACTTTCAAAGGCTCCTAGAGACCGTGAGAGTCCTGACAGAACATGTTGAAGTGATTAAAGTCAGACCTGTGAAATTAAAATGATTTTTTTTCTCCTAACATAAAAATATTATTTAAGCCCTACTTTAAAATGACTACAAGATTTAGCTAAAAAAAAGAAGAACTTAAAGTCAATATTTACAGTTATGTCCACATTATAATAATGAGAAAAAAATGCTTCAACTTAAAAAGAAGACATAAGAACTATTTAACATTTCAATAAAGTAATAATAAATAATATAAAATAGAGCCTGGAAAAAAAGAAAAAATGAATAAAGAATAAATAAATAATATAAAATAGAGCCTGGAAAATGATCAGTTGTCCAAGCAACACACGTCGAGGGCAATCACTGGACCCAGGGCCAGATTTTCTACAACAGCATGTCAGATTACAGTACCACAGTACGTGTTAGCTTCTGTCGCTAACTCACCAGTCTGCTGATCTCTTCTTGTCTGTCAGGGGCTGAGCGAGCTGTAGCTTTAATCATGGTGGAAGTCTGGTTGTCTGTCAGTTTCTTGATACATCGTTGGCCGGCAACTATGTTGCAGACCTGAGAATAAACACAATAAAATAAATAGATAAACATTAATGAAGAAGTTCCATCAATTACATGGAGTTGTCAGGCCGCGGCCCCTCGCTCACCTCCAGGGGAAGGTAGGTGTGCTTCTGCTCCTGCCCTACTTGCAGACAGGGTAAATGTGGATACTTGAGCTGCAGATTGTACTTCTGCTTGAAATACTGAGCTACAGTGCACTCCATGGCTTGGCCGTTCTCAAGCTGTAAGGGGAACCTGCGAATAAAGAGAATGTGCGAGTGAAGACCACAAATTATATATTTATGACCCTCTCTCTACCGTTACAGAAAAAAAACTAAACTTTTCACAGAAAATCATTGTGCTGTCGAGATGGAAGGTTAAAGAAACCGCAGCATTGAGGAGATAAAAGTCCTTACGTTTGGTGGCTGGCAGGTCGGCGTGTGACGTTGCACACGCGATACTTCCTCTTCATCTGACCGCAGTGTGTGACCTCTACCTTTAAGCCTTTTGCAAAACCCATACATACACACACAAACAAAAAAAAACAGTCATAAAAGAAGCACAGGAGCAGGACCCTGGTGCGGTCGACTGACATTTCTAACATTCAAATCTCTGCTTGTGGTTATTGAATATTGTTTTGCAGAACACATTTCGTTACAACTCCAAATTTGGCATTTAAAAAAAAGACAAATGTGTGATAATGTGTCAGAAGTGGGTGTTGCATTTTTTCTTTTTTTTTGAGCAAAGCATAAAAAAAAAAATTCATATTCAAGCAGGTCCGTGCCTACTCACTGTTCAGACTGAGTCACACAAGTTTGTGTCAAAAAATAAATAAAGGATTGAGCTTGTGTGGTGAATCCCAGCGCCTGTAGGTGAGTCGGTAGCAAGTGCTCACCTCTTATTTCCTTGGTGAATTTGACACGCTGTGAGTCGGTCAGCGGTTTGGTCTGCTCGTTGATGTTCTGTATATCCAGCACCTCACACATGAACTCTATCACAGGCTGAGCTCGGTAGAAAGCTGTGGCTGACACTCTCTCATAAATTACTTACAAAGCAGAGCAATGAAGGAAGTCAAGGATGGTGTATATCACGGGGGCTGAGGCTGAGGCCGGCCTTGACCGTATAAATGGGATGTTAAGGTGCAGCAGAAAGGTTTTTATATATATATAAAAAAAAAAGCTTTCAAAGGAACAGTTTTCTCAGTTCAAAGTTCTCAGAGCCAGAACATCAAGTACTCGTCCTCAAATGCTTCACAAAAATTCAAGGGCCAATGTTTAAGTAACAACCTCTTAAGTTTTACTGCTTCACGCAGCAAAGGCGGTTTTTACCGTCAATGTTGAGCATCATGTTCCACATGGCAGGACGAACGGACTGATGGAAGCCGAACCACACCTCCCTGCCTCCACCGAGAGGATGGTAATAGCCCTCTGGAGGAGAGAAGAAGGAACGCCCTACTGGAGTGTACCTGTGAGGACAAACGGACAAAGAAATATATTTAAAGATTACAAAAATAAATAAAAACTTCATCTGAAGCAACAACCAAATGTCCCCGTATACAGTCGTCAGAGTAAAGAGAGATTGTCCACATGTCTCTACCTGAAAAAAAAAAAAAAAATCTAGTTCATGAAGTTTTTAATTTAAACAAACACAAAACTGCTGCAGTGTTTGGAGTAAATTTAAGAGGACGTTTGCAGCCAGCAGATGTAAAAGTTTACCACGAAGCTCAATATGTCCAGATTTATTAACTTTACTGCAAAGAACCCTGGGTAGACAAAGCTACTGCAGAGCTGTGTTTTATTTGTTCAGGAAGAGGCCGCAGGAAATGAAGGTATTACAGTCAAATTAAAGATGAAATGCAATATCTCTGCTGACAGACGGGGGAGATCAGACGGTGGGGGGAGGTTCGGGGGGGGGTTCTGTTGGTACCTCATGGAAGGCAGATGCCGCGTGATGACGTCCAGAGCCTGAACAGAGTCTTCGGGGACCTCGTTGAGGTGACCTGACAGAGCATCCAGCAACATCTGAAGACTGACCACGGACACCCACTGCAAGGACACCTTGAAGGTCTGATCTTTCCCTTCACCAGGCAGAGTCACCTCCAGGTCCACCTGAGGACGGCAGGGGAGGGGGGAGAAAATCAGAGGGGAGGACAAAGGGTAAGTGAAGAGAAACTGATTTGAAAAGGTGACCCCACAGATAAGTCATAAACAGCCAGAGGCAACGATGGGGAACCAGGCAACAGCAAAGAATCGATTTGTCTTTGAAGTGACATGACGACCCACTGATGTTGACGAGAAATTCTATTATCAAAAAAAAAAACAAAAAAAAAACATCCCACAGCTGTCGTTTAGATTTTAGACGTTACACAGTTGCATAAACCACTGAACAAAACCACTGAAGAAAACCACTGAAGAAAACCTCTCTTCTGAACTTCATGGATGACATAAAACTAGTCATCGCATCAGGTCTGAACAGGATTCAAGGCCCGGTAAAAGGTCAAAACGCAGCCCCAGATTATTTCAGAGCTGGGTGCTACTGTAATGCGTCTCTTTCTTGTCCTCTTGCTGTCTGATTGGCAGAGATTTGAGGAAATAATTAAAAAACTTAGACTTGTTGCTAAGACAGAGGTTTGCACTTTTTAATCTGCTGTACAGTTTTTGTAAATTTTTTCTTTATTGCTCCTCAGAACAAGGTATTTGGCTGGTTTTCTCCATCCTTTATTTGTGCATTTTTCTTATACTTCAATGACATTTCAGGATCTTGGCTAAAACCCTTCACTGGTGCCAAACAAACCCCTAAATCCTACTGTTTGGACCTCTCTCTGTGCAGGAACATAATCACCACCGCCTCCTCCTCCATCGGCATTTTTGTTATCGTCTGAGAAACTGACATCAGCCCTGGCATGAACTCTGAACCTAGCACTGCCCCCTAGTGGATGCGTTTGCTTAACCACCATAAAAAACAGTTTTAAGTTGTATTTTTTTGGGTTACATAAAAATTAGTAAAACATTTAGGCTAGGACTGGACTTAAATATACATTGTTTTGTGTAAAAAGTATGACATCAAGGTTAATCTGTTGGGGGGGTGGTGTTAACCAGGAAGCATCTTTTTTCCACTTCCTTCCCTCTAAGTGTGTGAAAAAAAAAAAGAGAGCCTCTCTTTTCACAGTTCAAATACCAGCAGAAGATTCACAAAACACAATAATATTTTTAGGAATTTTCTGGAGAGAAATTATGGTACTCATTGGAGGAGTGTCTGGAAAAATATCCCGAGACGTCAGATTTATTATCCACACGCCATGGAAAGTGTCAAGTTGAAGAAAAATTAGAGCTCACTGACTGGGTGTTATCTTTTTTTTTTTTTTTTTTAAACACAAACACCACATTCTTGGTGCTGAATTTCCACATTAAAGATTTACAGTTCTGGAAACTCTTCGCCTCACATCCTACTCCTCTAACTCTTTTTTTTTTTGTTTTTTACATGCCTTTCACAAAATACAAGACGCACAAATAAATCAATTCGAAGACTAAAAAAAGCCGTCACAGCCGACAGACAGATTAGAGCCCCTCACCCTGTCTCTTCCTATAGGCAGTGGATGAGCTGTGTACATGTTCCTCTTCCCGTCATAACCAGGCTGGCGGTCTCCAAAGATCTGCATCTTGAAGTGACGCACCATGGTGTCCACCACTTCTCTGGAAGGAAGAAGAGAAAACCACAGTTTGAATCAACTTTACGTCCGTTTCACCGACGACATCGTGACCTCTGACTCTGTCGTGTTTTTACCTGTTGACCCTCCGAGGCCGTTTCTCAGGCTTGATGTCGATATCGTAGTGATAGACATCAATCTTGGGAATCTGCACCTGGAAGTGGTTGGCAAGGAGCCGGATGGGTTTCCCCACCGTGCCGAGGCCGGGACGACGTGGAGGCTGGAAGAGAGAGGTTGGGGCCGGGGGCCCTGGAAAAAAGAAAATGGAGGAAAGACACTGAAAAAGACGCTCAATTTCTTGTTGATCCTTGTTCACACTTCTACCAACAAAAAAACAAAACTTTATATTAGATTATTATTTATATTATATTAGACTTTACAAAAGTGCTCGTTAATGTGATGCACATTAGATGCCAATAAAAAAATCTGAATTAAGGAACACAAAATATCAACAAAAATAAATCAAGGGTCGGATTAGGTCGGGTCAGGGGGGTGGCGCCGTCCTTTAAGTGTCAGATTTATACGGCTAGCTCGTCGCTAACCATCCCATTAGTAACACTCGCTTAAATGGCCCCATGAACTGACATCACACATATGCAAACCGGTTTGACTGACGGCCCACTCGGACGCTTGACCCAAGCGGGTCAACAGGGGTCGGGGGGAAACAATGACCATAATTATCCTCCAGTACGCCCCCCAGCTCCACCCAGACACGGAGGGCGCCCACCCCACACGCCGAGACAAAGGCCGGGATCCTCCCAGACAGACAGCAGCAGAGCCATATGGAGGGGGAGGCGTGCAGAGAGACGGGGATTACCGTTACCACATACACACCACATACACAAATACTACATGATCACAGGTGGCTAACATACAGTAGGTGTGATACCTGGGACCGCTACAGCATTTTTTGTTTTGTTTTACATTCTATAACCAGACAAAAATCTAAAAGCTAATGGATTTTAGCATTCGCTAACAACAACGATTTATACAAGTACAGGTGCAAAGTAATTTAAGAGAAAGAGAAATCCAAGGTGCGAAGTAATTTAAGAGAAAGAGAAATCCAATGGTATTAAAGTTAAAGTGAAAGCACTTGGTGGCTGTCAACTGTTTGTTAGAAAAAGTCCAAGTCCTCAAAGTTAGGGATGAAATACGGGATTTCCCAGAAGTGTTTGCCACATAACAAACAAACACGATAATTACTTTAATCTGAAAGTGCGCAAAAAAGTTTAAATTATACTTCGGTGGAGGTAATAAAAGGAGGAGGAGGGCGTGCGGGGGGGTTGTGGTTCTTGTTGCTTTTGTCCATTCACTGCTGAGAGAACACAGGGTTCCTCAATGTACCCACACGCTCTAGTTACCAAGTGAAGCGCGAGGACACAGACAATCAAGACCCTTTCCATTGCTTCCTGAGAACACGCTTCCCAACATGTGCCCTCGTGTGGCCTGGACCCGAAACCACCCGCGCTTCCCACTTATGTCCTAAACCTTTTCTTTGAGGCGCCGTTTGTCGCCTGCCTGCTGCTCTTTGTCACGAATTGGATTGAAACCACTTGATGACTCACTGCGATCGTGTCCTACTGGCCTCGTTACAGATGGCAACAAAAAGGCTTTACGCCGTGCTCCTGCTTTGCATTCCATGTCACAACCACAACAAATGTTGTGAAAATATAGTAGTAAATAAGGAGCATTCATTCATTCATTGTGGCTTTGGAATTCATGTTTTTTTCCTCCAGTTTTATGTACTGGAACTTGGTCTGATTCCATGGCAGCCTTTACATTCAGGGAGTTCTCACGACCCAACTTGTCTACACAGAGCTCTACAAGTACAGGGTCCTCATCTTCCACTTTCACCAAAAGCAGACCTACACCTAAATTTAACCTCCTCAGCTGCCACACAACCACGCTTAAGAAACTCATACATACACAAGTGTCTCAACATCGAGCGACAGCGCTCATCCCTCTTTATTTTCGCTCTTGACGTCGCCACACCCAGCTACGTTCACCATTTGAGTCGATAACTATTCTTAAATTTGGTTTAGAAATGGTCCAGAAGCATACAAATTAGTTACTTTTCACATTTTTAAATTTGAAGAAATTACACTCTAATTCTTTCTTCTTTTTCCCTGTAGACTAATAAGAATTCATACTGAAGTTCTCTTGATTCAACCCGACCCGGATGGGATATAAATGAGGACATTATAGAGATTTTTCTACAGTGAGTGTTTTCAATGTTTCTAGGTTGAGTCACAGAGGAATTTTTGTTTTTCTGAAAAAAAAAAAGTGACAGATGGATGCAGCTTTGGAAGCAACTTGGCCACTATCGCATTTAAAAAAAAACTGTCACAACGACACGTCCGTAAATTCACAACCGCTGAGCAATGTTTGTGGTAGGTCTTAGCAGCAATAACGCGTGTCCCTGGTAACTGCAGTGTGATCGGTGTGCGAGACAGCTGGGCTTAAGCTCAGCAGGAGTAAAGAGTGATGGCTTTTGCCTGTTGATGAGTCAGACTACAGGCAGCATGTGCCCTGACGCCCACACGTGCAAATCACCTGAATTATGGTCCAAATATGTACAGTTGAAATCAATAACAAGGTTTAAATAGAAAGAGAGAGAAGGGAGGGGGGGTGAATAGCAAACTATCCGTAGAAAAAGTAGGAAAATTGTCAAAATGTTCCCATGTTGATTTGTTGTCTGCCTGGTATCTTATTTTGAAAAACATTCACTTCCCTTCACTTCTCATTCCGACGCCCTCAAACTAACGCAGTGATAAGACAGCAGAAGAAAACAACAAGAACTCTAAAGTAGCAAATTTATGATCATTCAGCTCCAATTTTAAGAATGACATCTTGCGCAAAAGTAAAACTGGAAATCCACGAACCTCAGAAATGGTTTTACACAAGCACAGCTTTTCTAAAACAACATTTTCTTTTGGGGACTTATTTCACAACAACAGCTTCAATATTGTCCCCTTGGAGGTTTTGGATTTGTCAATGCCAACGTGCATGACTATAGAGGAAGGCATGAAGTGAGAATTCTGGGTCAGGGGTCAGTTGTGACGACGGGTGAGTCTGTAAAGAATGTAACGGAAAACAAGGAAGTTGTAGATGACAGAAGAGGAGGAAAAAAAATAGGAATACAGAAAAGTCAGAGATAAACACACAGACCAAGACGAGGCTAAGAGAGACAACATGAAAGCAATTAAAAAAAAGACAAAAAAGGCGAAAAAATATAACAAAAGAAAAAATATAACAAAAGATGACTAACATGACAATATAAAAACAACAAACGCTCTATAGTTCGTCCATCTGGTAGCACTTTGTAACCATTTTTAGAGCCAAATACCACATTTTATCACTCTGAGCAGCTGTCCAACTAAAAGATGTTTCCGTGTCAGCCGTTCCTTGAATTTTGTGTAAAATGTCAACGAGATGTTCCTACATTATTGGCATATTCTTTCAAAACCTTCAGTGGGAAGTAAACAGTCTCTGTCTCTGATGTGCGTTTGTGATCGTGAATGAAAAAAGAAAAGTGAAAGTACAGTTTTGCTGTAGAAATATAGTGACGACTACAGGCAAAATGTTAACTGTGGTTTGCCAATTTTACAAATATTGTAGCTGAAACAGTCGCACTGTGACTGAATCAACTGACACTGTGCAAAGCTGTGAAAGGTTGTCAAGTATTGTCACCTAAATCTGCGGTTTTCAGGAGTTGTGCAAAACCAGTAGCCCGATGGAGACTATACTTGCAATTTCCTTCCCCCCTTGCAGTGACAATTACGATTCTGCACGATACAATTTGTCATTAATGACAAAAAAAAACGTAAAAACGTATTTTGCATGTGGCAGAAACGCATTGTGTGTGCATTGCTTCCCCCTACATGCAGGTTCACTGCACCGCAGCAGAAAAATAAATATATAAATACGTAAATACACTCTAAGTGCCTTTGTTATCATATAGGAGATGAGTAATATGGAGCTGGCCTGCAGTTGGGATCGATAAAAAGCGCCATCCATCCCTGCTTCGCTCACTCGGACGCATGGTTGCTACCCAATGAGAAGTGTGCGAGAAGCGGTGACAGCGGCAGGGAATTAAAAGAACGTTAAAATGTACGAAAATCAACGTTTTCCTGCTCATTCGGCAGCGCTTGCCTTGTTTTTATGGGCATTCATTTTGTATTTTCCACCCCTCGCACCGCTGTCTGTCATTTTGACTGGGCAGCACGCTGTTCTTGAGCGTACTTTCAGGGGCAGAAAATGACACATTTTTGGTGAAAATTCGACGACAACACGAGGTTATTTTTGACCAAATGTGGTTATGGCCGCGTAGTTAAGAATTTAAAACATTCACATGGTGGATAAACACGAATGTAAACACAACACGGCGACGCGGAAGGAGGAAGGAAAGGTCCTGGTTAAATCCCCACTCACACACATACACACAAACACACAATGCCAGGCTGCCGCGACGCGACGAGCCGTGCGCGCAGTAAACCGCGCGGACGTGACGGTAGAAGCCTTAGCAAAAATAACAACTTGGTTCGTGAATACACGAAAACTGCTTTTATTCGACCAGTTTGGTCGTTATTCTGTGTGTGTACAATAAACAGGGGGGCTGGGCCTCGGTTTGTTTTCCCGTTAGAGCGTCGAGGCCTCGCTGCAGCCGCGGCCCCCAGTGAAGCGACGTGTACGCGGACTCGCTCTCAAGGCTGCCGCTACAGCGGACGCTCGCGTCCCTGTCTTTACGTTTTTAAAACTTACCGGGTCCTAGGGCTTCCATGGCCGAGGCCTCTCTCTCCGTCTCTGTCCCGGCCTGACGGCTCCGTACCGGCACTGAAATTGGGGGCGGTATCGCGAAGCTTAAAGTGGCTAATTTAAGAAAAATTGAATATAGATAGCTGCGTGGATAACTGCCGACTGAGGCGACCGAGCTGTGCTGCCGCTCTCTCTGCTGCCTCTGACCATTTGTATCTACGCATGCGTCAGACAGGAGACGGTTCACCTGTGGTGCGCATGCGTAGTTTTTTACACTGGGAAGTGGGACAATCTTTAATGCCACAGCGCAGACAGTATTTTTAACATACTTTGTAATTAAATCAGTATAATTAAATCTTAACCTATGACATGTAAATGTAGTTAAGTAGTCAGTTAAAGTTGAGGTCGATGAAACGCTTCTAAGTTGGTTAGAATTAGAATGAAACGCACAGAATTTAGTCCAGAAACGTTGTTTTGATTTAAAGAAAAATAAGTCGCAAAGTTAAGGTCATAAAAAAAAAAGAATAAATAAGTCGCAAAGTTAAGGTCATAAAAAGCTAAAAGCCTGTCAGACATTATTTTAAAAAATAATAATTGAGATGATACTAGAGAAAGTGTTTGGAATTTATTTCTATCCTGTTTCGCCCCGCCCATCAGCAATCTAAATCTATGGTGTGAACCAAATGCTCATTTGACGGAAGTGTGTCGTCATGGTGGGTGGGTACTAATGACCCCAACGGACCAATAGCGAAGCAAGAAGCGGGCGATTGACACGTTGGTGACGAAAAACTGTGGGCCAGCTGTCACGGCGCGCGAAAGATCAAAATTTCTCTGCGTTAGTATTGAAGAGGCGGGAGGAAGGGAGAAGCTCTGCTTAAACTCTCTTTAAATGAACCCTTACTGTCTTCAATAGTTTCTGCCACACAGGCATTTATTATTTATTCGTCTGTTGTGGCTACCAAGCTTGGTGAAACCGCTGATTTATTCTTGTACAAGAGGGTAAACTTAGCGGACAAAGATGAGCCTGGTCGCAAATCAACAACAGGTAAGAAAATACTTCTTGGTACCATGCAACTAACTGTATATGTAACATCATTTAGGTTTTCATATGACATCCAGTTTATGTTAAGTTGCTTTAAAAGACATTCTAGTCTCTGGATTCACAAGAATGCTGCTGAACGCGGGTATTGTTAGCTACAGCTAGTTAGCTCGCTTTAGCTGAGGTGGTAGCTGTAGCAACATGGCTTCTTCATGTCTTTTAAAACGGTACTTTAACTTTTCTTGACATTTTTTTTAAAGTTAGCTGCACTACAAGGATCGTTTCTTCTTGCAGTGATAGGGTTTCTGTTAAGTTTGCTCCTAAAGAACTGCAATTTTGGACAGATATAGAAAGGATGAAGCAGCCATGTTTCCAGCAACTGTAGTGCTTATTGTGTGGTTTATTACTAGGCGCCACAGATGTGGTTCCACATTCTTGTATTTTATGCTTAAACACACAAACAATAAAAAGTATATTTTATTTAACGTTGACCTTTCATCTGTCTTTTTGCACTAAATATATACGTTATGAGTTTCCTAGAAACTTTGACAGGACAACGTTATTTACCAAGTTGTGCTGCTGTTAGTTTAATTTGATTTGGCCCAGGACGCTACGATTGTTATTGAACAAACACAACGTGTCACATGTTCTTATTAAAAGTGCTTATTCCAATTTAACTACTATCCAGACATAATAACGGCAGTGGAGAATGTAATGCCTGAAACCATAAACACATTAAAATCTAAATTTGTGATTGAATTTTTTTTTCTGTATTCCTGTGCAAAGGCTGAGGCGCTCCCTGCTGTGGTCCAAACAGCAGCAGAGAGCAGCCTGGACAGTGGGGTGGGTTCTCCAGCCGAGGAGATGGTCACGGAGACGGCCAACAATAAAGAGGAGCTTCCAGGTGAAGTAACACAACAATAGAAGACGGGCAGAGTCACTCTGTGTAAATGAGATGACCTTTTAGGTTGATGTGCGGAAAATGAGAGACATCGTTTTGGAGGCAGCACGGTGGTCGTTGTTGTCGTTTGAATTCCACTTTGAATTGTAGATCAACACTCTGCTGTTGTATTTAGATTCTGAAGACGATGAAGACATCACAGCTCACAGGAAGCCCCGCCGTCACGCCATAAGAGACAGCGATGAGGAAGAAGACGGGGCTGCAGAGGACAGCGTCCACATGGCTGAAGCACTGGCCCTATCTGCCTCCAGTGAAGAGGAGATGGAGACGGACAAGGTTAACGAGAAAGAGAAGAAGACCAAAAGAATAAGCAGAGCACCGATCGACAGTGAAGACAGTGAGTCAGAGCGAGGGCAAAGTGAGGAAGTGGGAGAGCAACAGGATAAGAAGAAAGGGAAGAAGAAGAAGGAGACGAACGAAGAAGGGAAGTCAAAGAAGCAAAAGAGAGAGAAGAGCCAGAGACACCGGGAGAAGAAGGAGAAACGAAGCAAAGCCGTGGACAAACTGAAAAAGAAGGACAGGTTCTCAGAAAGGAGTGAGGTATGGTTAACTTGGAGTCTTTTCCCTTGGTTTTTTACTTTACTTTGAGTTCTTATTTATGTAGGACATTGTAGGCTGGATGAATTCTCATCTATTTTTTCTAAATGGTTTGTATTTTAACAGACAAATGTTTATTAGATTATAATTTTGAACACTTTTCCCTCAGGATGCAGCTCCTCCGCGGCCTCTGAATGACAGTGGGTGTCCACTGGGCGACACAGACCTGTTTGACACTGGTCTTGGCGATGAGGATGAAGAAGAGGAGTCTCTGGACGCCATCAGAGCAGCAGTCAAAAACAAAATGAAGAAACAAAAGGTGCAGATTAATTAGATTTAGTTTTCATTTTTAGACTTCCTGTGCAAAACACATTTGTGCTCCCTGAGGTTTGAAGCCAGGACCAAATATTAACACCATTACCACAGCAGTGGCTCTCTGGCATTGAAGAAGAAAAAAATAGAGTAATTTTCATTTCCATTTAAAGAAAATGTAGAGGTCTTTTTTTATGAACTCCAACACTTTTTTTACAGTTCACAGATGCTCCAAAAGCTTTCCACTGCTCATTATTAAATGTTCTTGCAGAAAACTTTTCCGGATGAAGAGGACAGAGAGGAAGAAGAGGAGGATGAAGAGGCACCAGAGAAACCTCAGCGTGCTGTATGCTCTCCTTTTATGCTGTTTTTTCAGGACTAAGAATATCGTTGAAAAACAAAATTGTGATTAAACAAATTCTCTGTTCTCAGGAGAGGAAAGCTGCCCGCGCCAGCAGGGAGGCGATGAAACTACTCCACAGTGACTCTCAGCGGCTGGTCAGAGGTCAGTTCAAACATCGTCTCCTGGTCATCGTCGCAGCGTAAAAAATCTCAAATTAATCACTGCTTGTTGCTGAGTTTCATCACTTACATGTTTTTCCAGAGTCGACTCTCGGCCTTCCTTACCACATCCCTGAACCCAAGACCATCGACCAGTTTTTTAGGAAGAGAACCAGACCTGAGGGTCCGGCCATGTCTTTACTAAAGTAAGGAAAATGTCACAGTGTCAAAAATCAGAAGACAACTACAGTATGACTACATTAGTAGGAATTTATTAAAAGCCATAACCAAAAATATATATATACTGATAGAAACTCTAGATAACAAATAAATATAAAAGTTAATTATGTTTTTCAGATCAACAAAATATTCAGCCATGATGTTGGAGACCCCCTCAGCCCCTGCAGCACCTCCTCCTCCTGTGACCCCATCCGTTGAACCCCAGCAGCCGTGCTCAGAGGAGGAACCTCCTTTGGGTCTGTCCTCCACTCAGATCCAGCCTCTGGCCTGTCCTGCTGCCACCTCCTCTCCTCAGCAGGAGAGTCTCAGCCGGGTCAACGAGGAGAGCTTGAGTTTAGACGACAACCAGGATTCTGGGCCAATGCTCTGCCTCTCAGAGAGTCTGCAGGAGTCGCTCACGGCAGACGAGGTTGTCAGAAATGTCATGGACTCTGGGCTTCAAGCCCCCGCTGCCCTGTCAGATGAAACCCAGGCTGCAGTGATACCTGACTCCAGACCTCTGCTGCTGCACCCTGACCCCGGGGCTCCACCTGCTAAATGTGGGAACACAGAGTCGACTGAAACTGGTCATTTACAGCAGCAACACGCCAAGCTGAAGAAGGACAGACTGACCCGACTGAAGGAGCTCGGGCTGGTTCCTCCACCTGTTGCCAAACTGTGTCCAGATGATGGAGCCTTTATTCAGCTGGAGCCTCCTCAACCCAACCCTGGTGAATCTTCTTTTCCAAAACAGTTTCAAGTAGAACAGTTGTTAACATATATTTGTTGGAGGGTCAAAATTTACAGGACTGACACTCAAATAAAATTAATCCCCAGTTGATGATTACTGCAGTAGAATAAAAACGTCTTTTCTCTCTCCTTTCGACCAGGCCTGGTGGCTCTGAGGGAGCGTTACCTCCGCCACATCCAGGCTCCTGTCAAGGCCAAAGGGGAGCGCACCATGCAGTTGGAAATCATCCGTAAAGACAGCACAGCGTCGGGCCAGGAGGAGCTGCACAAGGAGTCGGTCACCGTCACCGTGAAGGGAGAAGCAGAGAAGTCGGCTCCCACCAAACCTGGTAAACAAATGTGTGCGATGCAGTAGACGTGGATATGACTGTCTTACCAATTCAGTAGTGAAGTGTGCTCCAGAAATGAGTAGTGTAGTATGAACGACTGTACCACACAGAGCAGGTTTACAAGACTTTCCTAATTTGACCATTTCTGGTCTGTTCTGTGCAGGAGAGAGGCTGCTGTCGCTGAAGCAGCGTCTGCAGCTCGCCATGGCTCAGCACAGGAAAGAGGAGAGGGCACGAAAGGCCGAGCTGAATCGCCTGGACAATGAGGAATGTGGCGAGGAAGAAGAGGAGGTGGAAGATCTGACAGACGAGTCAGAAGCAGAAGAGGTACAAAAGAATCTCCTTTTCTTTCCTGTTTCTGCTCTCAAACATCACCACGATGTCAAATCCAACTTAAAAAAAAATCTCTTAATTTCCCAGGGTGTGGACGATCTGCTGGGAGGTGATGACAGAATGGAGGAAGAGGAAGAAGGAAGTGTGTCTCACAGCAACAGGAGTGCGTCACCTGTCACGCTGGCCAGACCTTCACCTTCAACCCCTGATCTGGTCAACACTGATGGGACCCTCATGCTGTTCCCAGGAAACTCTCGTACTGGGTAGGTTTCCTGCTACGTCCTTGTCATATTTCTACACCTTAAAACTTCATAAAAACATTTTTTTAATCCAATACAGTGATGGAATCAGGAGATCTGGACCTTCTGGGCAGGGCAGCAGTCATAAGATGGGTGAGTGACTTTTGTGATGTAATTTAATGATGAAGTGACTGCGGTGAGGTATGAGGTGACAGCTGATTCATGGACACTCTCTCCGTCTCCAGATGAGGACGACTCTCTGTCCCTGGTGAAGGACAACAGCCACAACAGCAGCTTTGAGCTGGCAGGCTCCATGATCACCTGCTACCAGCCGGTCAGTCATCAACGCTCCACAGGAAGAGGAGTCCCCAACTCCTCCATTTTCCGCTCACCGTCTCCCTGCCTCTTCAGGCCGAGTTTCCTCAGCTCGGCCTCCAAGGTAAGAAAAACCTTGTTTCCCAAAGTGGGGTCCAGGGCCCCATGGGGGTCAAAGGCAATTAATTATTTACCCGGGGTGGTGATAATTCATCCTAAAGTCACGTTCCACCTTTTCACCAAAACTCTTTTTTTTTTGTTTTTTCCTTCAGAGTTCTGGAACTCTCTCGAACCCCTTCCTCTGCCTCCCTGTGGAAGATTCCCAGGATCTTTACGCCCCTTCATCCCCTAGTGCTGACTCGGGTCCCCTGGGTGCTGCAGCCTTGGTCCCAGGAGGAGACTCCCAGGGTCGCTTCTCCTTGGAGGACGACGCCCATTCCCAGTTACTGGACGCCGACGGCTTCCTCAACGTGGGGCCTCGTCGTGGTGCTCCCCCCTCCCACAAACGACAGCTGATCTTGGACAGTTTGGACGAAAACGCCATGGACGCTAACATGGGGGAGCTGCTGGGTTTGTGTTCTGGTGTTTTTAGCTCAGAGGACAACGGCTCCAGCCAGGACAGAGTCCTCGGGTCGACGCAAGAGGACGAGATGCTCGGACTGTGTTCTGGAGCTTTTCCGCAAACGCAGGCTGGAGAGGAGAAGACGGAAAGTCACGAGAGGAAGGAAGAAGAAGAAGAAGACCAGGATAAGGAATCTGAGAGTGACGTGGATCAGCTGCTGGGGCTGTGCTCCGGGAAGTTCCCCAGTTCAGGTGAAAGTCTTGAAAATGGTCCAACCTTCTGTAATTAGGTGTTTGTTTATTTGTTATTTTTTAAAACACAATCTTTTGTTGCTAATTTCAGGTTCTGCTCACTCAGCTTCACCAGTCAAAGACAGGTAATTAACAACTATATATGTGTATTTGTATATTCCAACATGTATATTTATATATATATGTTGTGTATATATATAAATTTAAATATAGTTTTTTTTTACTAATTTTTCTGTCCATTTTAATAAAGTAATACAATAAAAAAACATTATACAGACTGACAACATCTATCTGTGGTTTCTCTCTCTGTAGTAAAAAGGAGGCAGAAGAGGAGGAGGAAGAGGAGGAAGACTGTGAATTCCGGCTCCTGTCAGATGTTGAGAGTGAACAGGTAAAAGGATCGACTGGAAACACAGTCTGATGTTGTTTTTATGGTTTGTACAATCAGATCGACTGGAAACAAACCTCACAGTGATGTTGTTTTTATGGTTTGTACAATCAGAGTTGAGAATGGAGTGAAAATGACACAATGTGTGGTTTATACAGGAGGAGGAGGATGAAGATGAGGAGAATAAAGATGGAGAAGAGGATGGTGGTGAGGAAGGGTACGATGATGTGGAAGATGAGGAGATGCAGGGGGTGTTTGCTCCAAAGCACGCCAAGAAAAAGAAGAAGAAGAAAATGTAAGTGAAATAAGTTGAAATTTCAAAATAGAAATTAGAAAATAAATAAAAGTATCGATGCTAATTTCTCCTGGTGTCGTTGTCAGGCGTCTGGTCGACTACCTGGAGTCGGAGGCCGAGCTGTCGGGCAGCGACCTGGGCAGCGAGGACGAGGACGATGATGGAGGGAGTGAGTATGAGGAGGACGAGCTCCTGGAGGAGCTTCCCTCTGATGAGGAGCTCCAGGATCAGGTCAACAAGATCCACATGTGAGTGTCGGCAGAGGAAATAAAAATCATGAAGAAAAAAGTAAAGAAATGTTTCTGTCAGGTTTTGTTTTGTTTAAAAACTTACACCTTGTTCACAGGAAGCAGATTCTTGATGACGACAAGCGTCGGCTCAGACTCTACCAGGAGAGATACCTGGCCGACGGTGACCTGCACTCTGACGGACCGGGTCGAGCTCGAAGGTTCCGCTGGAAAAACATTGGTCAGTTTTCAGCAGCCGTCAGTTTGGATTTGGTTTTATGACCAAAAACGTGGAAATAAGTTTCGATTTGAATTCTTTTTTATGACCAAAAACCTGGAAATAAGTTTCGATTTGAATTCTTTTCTCCAGATGACGCTTTCGACGTGGACAGAACGGGAGGAGAGGGGGAAGAAGAGGAGGAGGATGAAGACAACGTCATGGACCCTGTGGAGATCCAGAGGAGACGAGAGAGACTGGAGAGGGAGCAGTGGCTCAGAGAACAAGTAGGTGGCGCTGTTGGGACTCCTGCATATTGACATACTACTATATTATGATTTTTAACTCCAACGATATGATTTTGAACGTCGTGTTTCCGTCAGTCTGAACAGAAGGCCAAGAAGGGTGAGGACGTGGACGAAGATGAGGAGAAGATGGGTGAGGAGGACAGTCACTTCATGAAGCTGGCCAAGAAGCTGACGGCCAAGACTCTGCAGAAGAAAGGTCAGCACTCCCTCTGTTGAGCCACGCTCATGCTTTAAGTGCACCTGCTGTCACCACTATGTGGCGCTCAGGCACTGCCCTAGTTTTCTACGGCAGAGATTTGGAATTATTTCAAAAATATTTTTCAAACTAGTGGCCATTTTATTAGTAGTTTCTAATAATAATTAATATGACATTTATTTGACTTATATTTAGCCACATTTTCCCTCCATTCATTTCACAAAAAGTACATCAATTTCAATGTTCAGACTCTGCGGTGACATCACAGCCAGAGAAGAGGACGACGCCAGCGACAATGACATCATCAACTCTTAATCCGTTCCTGAGAACATCGCAGCCTTCACAGGTTTGTTACCATCATCACACATGACATAAATTTAATATCTGAGGCAGCTGAAGATTTCACAGTGAGAAAACGGTTCTTATGTAACCCTCGTACCTTCAGGCCGAGGTCATGTGACTCTGTGGTTTCTCTCCTGACGGTTGTTCTTTAATCGAGATAAAACGTGTTGTGTTTCTGTGAAAAAAAGCATCTTCTGTTTGTCTTCAGTGTGTAACACAGAGATGAATCTATGACTGATGAGTGTGTGGAAAACAGGATGATGTGCTGCCCTGTGGCCCACGCCCCACGTGTTAGTTTGAGCTAAATGTGAACATCTTTGTGGCCACGGGGCCAGAGGTGAATGATTGAAAGTGATATGCTTTAATAGTGAGAATAGTGAGTTCATACGGCAGTGACAGAAGCTGCTTCAACCACAGAGTTAATACGGCAGTGACAGAAGCTGCTTCAACTTCATTGGATTAAAAACAAAGATTTCTTTCAAAGTGCACCTTAAATTTGACCTGGAAAAATGAATATGACCATCAATGTTTTTCTGTTTCAGGTGAAGAGAGGTTCACTGCTCAGTCAGCCTCGGTCTGTCCTCCAGAAACTGGCCAACATCTCAGAGGGCAACCCTATGGCTCCAAGGAACACTCGTGGATTTCTGTTCCAGACACTTTCTCCTGAGAAGGACGGCAAGACCTCGGACGCTCCACAGAACCAGGTGAGAACGGAGGACTGTCTGGACATAAGGTCGCACAGGGAACACCCGCACCAAGAAAGTAAACAAGTAAACATAAAGTTAAAAAAAACAACAACTGCTAGAATTAAAGGTTAGACTGTCGAATGTCAACGTTGGGCTGCAAAGTAAGCCAAAATATTAGCTCGACGTTAGCTCAGAAGTAGCTAAAAACGTGTCTTGTTAAAACACGTGACTTTATATTTGTGTGTTTGCTACACGTGACTTTCTTTAACCTACAGTATAGTCTGTATAGTCACGTGAAAATGAGTCTTTTTCGGACCTGTAGTTTCCTAAAAAGAACACTGGATGGCGCCAAAGCCCATATTCTGTTTTCGTGTTCTAAACCTCCCGTCTCTGTCATATTACCTTTAGCTGTAATGAAACTGTTTTTACTTAATAATAATAGTAAATAATTGAAGTGTTTAGATAAAGTTTTTTTTTTCTCTGGTCCACAGACGATGAAGAAGAGGAGTCAGGTTGGAGCCGTGAACCCTGCAGCCAAGAGAATCTGCAGGGAGAACAAACCCGTGGCTCAGAACAGTGGTCCTCAGAGAAGCATCTTCAGCTTCCTGGACCACTGAGGTTTGACTCCTGGACCCACTTCCTGTCATTCACCCAGAACATGTGATAGAACCATGACTGGACCTCCTCCTCAGAACTGCCGTTTGTTTGTCCATTAACGTGTTTTTAATTATGTAAATAGGATGGAATTAATTTAGTTTTTAACATGTTTTGCGTGAGGATAATAAATGTCTGTTTTACAGTGTAAATAAAAGTGTATTTTATAACATCAGTTTGACACATTTCTGTTGTTTGATTCTGTCTGGAGTCTTGTTTCCTCTGTGCCGGAATTAGTTTTTTTTTTTTAATATTGTATTTGTGACAAATGTGATCTTTACTATAAAACCTTTAAAGCTGTGATAAATTGACAAAACATTTTCGTCAATACTTCTGAAGTGAAACGACTTGGAGTTATGTCAATACTTGGTGAATGTTTCACCACTTCTGAAGTGAAACGACTTGGAGTTAGCTAACAGCTAAAGGTTAGCCAAAGGCTGAGTAATAGTTGATCAGATATAGTTAGATGGTTAGATAATCTGACCTGATCTTTAATCCCAGAGCTGCAGATGAAACAGGCTGTGGAGAACCAGAGGGTTCCACTGTGACACAGAGGAAAATCCATCTGGACCTGGTTGTTGTGTGTGTTGATGGAGCATTAGTACGGTACAGTACAGTACAGTACGGTACAGTTAAATCAACTGATTGAGCTCAGTTACCTAACAGAGTTATGTCACCGTTAGCTCGACCTCAGAGGCTGCAGTGACCAGGAGTCAAACAAACACCCAAAAAATTCTCGCCTTCCTAATCTCCGTCCGGACGAGGTGATAAGGAAACACTTTCACACCATAAAAGGACAGAAGTACAGAACGAGGCTCCAATCTGCCATCAAATTGTAATTAGCGCTGATCGCTCGTCGTCTTGACCCTGGAAACGCAGCCCTGGGACGTGAAATCCCATCTTCATCCCACTTAATTACACCGTAATGACTGAACAAACGTAATGACAGATGCAGTTGCACAACATTTAACTCGTCCTTTAATCGATGTGGACGTTTGAAATCAGGACGGATTTCTTTTTTTTCTTCTTCTGAAGATCAAGTTTAAGGTAAAAGTGCAAACGCAGCAGAAACCACTCCAGGATGAGTCCTGTCTGCCTGCAGGTGTAACAGTTAGTCCCCCCCCCCCCCTCTCCTCCCCCTCCGTCCCCCAGCATGGACTCTACTCCAGTTGGCCCCTAATGATGTATAATGGGGCCTCCTGCGACCACTCATAACCCCGGGACCTCCTCTTAATCACCACGACCACTAATGAGATGGAGAGACAAGGAAGGAGTCGTTAGAAGAAGAAGAAGAAACAGAAGATTCCCTTTAATGCTGGACTATTATTAGCTTCGTGCCAAATCATTAGTCTCTAAACTGCAATTATGGCCTGGAACCTGCAGGAAACAAAATCTGAAAAAAAAGTTCCAGGAGCCCCAGAGAGAAAAGGGGGGAGAGAGGGAGAGAGGGGAGGAGAGAAGTGGTGGAGGAGACTACTACGGTGGTCACCAAAATAAAACAAAACAAGAGAAACTGTGTCATGTCAGCACAAAGATGATCGAAGGACGGAAGGAAAGAAGGAAGGAAAGAAGGAAAGGGAGGATAAAAGAAGTTGGGAACCAAAGAAAAGAGGAAAAAGGAAAGAAGGAAAGGAAGGAAGGAATCTTGGAAATAAGGAAGTAAGGGAAGACTAGAGGAATGAAGGAACAAAGGAAGGATTGAAGGAATGATGGTAAGGGAGAAGGAAGAAAGGATAGAAGGAGAAGAAAGGGAGGAATGGTATCAAGAAAGCAAAGAAAAGATGCGAAAAGGAAAAACGAGGAGTGGAGGATTAAAAAGGAAGGAAAGAAGAACGACAAATGAAAAAAGGAGAGAACGATCAAAAGGAAGAAGGAAAGGAGGGGAAGAGTTGTTACACAGGTGCTGCAGGCTAGCGTTGACTCCAGTGCCCCCTCTCTGGCGCCCCCTCTCTGACACAGAACACAGTTGAAAACAGCAGCGTGACTCACCTTGTGAATAACAAGAGCTTGTCTGAATGGAACGCAGCCCACGGGGGCTGTGACCCACTTCTCTCACTTCATCTCCTCGTCTGCTCCGGCACCGCTCTCTGACTGTGTGTGACAGCGGCCCTGGGTTGGCCAGCGGGCCCCCGGGCCCCCCCCCACCCCCTTCCGAAGTCACGCTCCTGTAGTGCAGTACCTCCAGCTCACCTCAGGGAGGATGTGATAATCTGCAGCTCTAATCCAGCAGATTAATGATACTCTGTAATTCCAGACAGAGATGAGAGCAGACACCCCCCTCCTGCCCCCCCCCCCACACTACAGTCCAGCCTCAGGTTCTACACATCACTGTGTAATCTGAACCAGAGCAGACCAGTGTCCTCCAGGTGTTTACAGGCCGAGGACGGAGGTCAGGTCATGTGACCTTCTCACAGTTTTACACTGGAAATTAATTAGAGAAGAAGGTTGTTGGTTCTAACACATGAACCTCCTGCCTTTCCCCTGGGTCAGGTGTTGTTTCAGACCTGGACTGAAGTAAGGACTTGATCTTGACCTTAGACTTTAGTTCAACCTTTCTCCTTTGACTTGGACTCAAATGGAACTTGTTTTTAGTAACTCGGACTTGAACTAAAATTTACTAAACAAATTAGAAGAATTTCTTGAGAAGAATCTAGAATTCTTCATTCAATGTTTGGAGAAGACGTGCAGCTCGTCTCTGATTCCTGTGGACTTGACTGTTGTCCCAGCTGCTCCTCACAGCTGACCTGGACTGATCTGACTTTTGGAACTCGGGACTTTTTCCCCTCCTTCTTTAAGGAATAAGAAAGAAGGAGAACAAGAAGAAGAAGGAGAAGAAGAAGGAGAAGAAGAAGGAGAAGAAGAAGGAGAAGAAGGCAGAGATGACTGTGTGTGTGACCAGGCCTCCAGGCCGTCGACCGTTTTTGATCCATTTTTTATATGTTTAGGCTAAGAGTGAACGACAGAGGAGAAAAAGAGGAGAAAAAAGAGGAGTCGCCTGGGGCTGATGTACTAGAATAGGGCTGACTGGAGGAGGGTGGGGGGGCGGTCACAGCCATGCCGTGTGATGTTGTTTACAGCGTGACATCATGTGGCTGCTGGTGTCAGGACATTTCTGTACAAACATTCTGTGGACGGCCGCTGCCTTTATATATTTATATATATATTTATATATTTATATATTTATATATTTATATATTTATATATGTACTGTATAGTCAACATGTCATTGTCATATTTCAAGCTTAATGTAAAAGTAAAGGTTTGCTAACATGTGATTTTGTGATAAGTAAGAAGAGAAGGAACTAGTGTCAGAGTCAGAGCTCAGAGGTTGGCTAACCTTTAGCTTCTTCTAAGCTATCTTTAAGTAATTTTCTCTGGCTACAGTTGAACTGTTTGTTTGTTTGTTTGTTTGTTTTTTCAGGTGATTTCAGTTTAACGTTGGAGTGGAGAAATGTTATGTTTATGTTTGTGTTATGTTGTTATACTTTTGCCCAACTTTTACTTCTTTGCATTTGTTCACTTTTTTTTAAATATTTGCTTTATCTATGCGAACTTGAAGGAGTCATTGTATGACGTCATTGTTTTGTTCGAACTCCTTATTGTTTCTCTTCCTGCTCCACAGTTTCTCCCTCTTCCTCCAGGACCAGCCCTGGTCAGGAAGCATCAGTCAGGCTGGTTGTCGTTGTTTTTCCCCCTCCATAACTTCACAGTGAGCTGATGCAGGGAGGAGGGGGAGGAAGAGGAGGAGGAGGAGGAGGAGAAGAGGAAGATAAACATACAGCATACTGTAGGAGGACCGGGAGGAGGAGGAGGAGAAATCTGAATCTACAGCCGCTGAATTAGTAAAGCCACTGGAAAAGGTAAGAAAAAAAAAGTTCATGCAAATATATTCAGATGTGTTTGTCCTCCGTGCTGCTCTTATGTAAGACGAACAGAGAAGATGAAGGGCAGAGGCAGCGGACTCTTCTTCACCGAGGAGCCGTAGACAGGAGGCAGCACGGAGATGGGGTGAGGACGGAGCTGAGAGTCACCTTCTGTCCCTTCTCTCTTCATCTATCTTTATCTTTTACGATCATTCCAGGAGACAGATGTCGAGTTTACTGTAAATCTTGACTCCAGATTAGCGGCAGTGAAAACATGCAGCGGGCGTCCTGCGCCATCAGACGCGTTTTTCACGCTCTCCGACGCGAAAACCTGCGTTTTTCACTAAAAATCAGAAACATCCGCTCAACACCAGCACTGTTTGGGTATAATATTTTATTATTCTCATCACAATGACTTCATTCGGCCTGATCACGTTTTTTTTGGGGGGCTGTTTTGCCGTGTTGATGATTCAACATCTATGTCTTTGCATGGACGTGTCCTCGCTGCGTGCGCGCTCCAGACAACGTCGCTGTCCTTCAGCACCGCATGGACGCGCACCGGGCAGGAGAGGATGACGGGTAGTGGCGGAGCTGGGCTTTGATTGACAGCAGCCTGGAGTCAGGATTAGAGAGATTTTCATTCTGAGGAGAAACGTTAATGATTGATGCTGATTGGACCGGAGTCCAGCCTGTAGTTACAGACTGGACACGGGTGTGTGTGTGTGTGTGTGAGAGAGAGAGAGAGAGAGAGAGAGAACACCAGTAGGAGAGACTCAAAACAAAGAGCAACAATGTGTTGAAAATATATTGCTCTGAATTAAAGGTTTTCAACAGTGGGTCCGCGGCCCGGCGGTGTCCGCAGGTCGTTTGTTGTTTTTCCCATTTCTTCCAGTGCAAAATATTTAAATGAAAGTCTGGGAGATTTCCTGGCGATCTTTTAGCTCATCTGTTACTGTTTATTTCCTGAACTTTGTGTTGCAGATGTTTATTGAATATTAACGATCTTGTTGCCATGGTGATGTAAACCCTAAGATCTCTGTCCCTGTGGTTTCAGTGAGTCACAGTCCCGCTCAGCGATGCTTCAACATCAGGACCAACCTTTGAACTACAGAGGTCACGGAGGGGCCAACAGCAAACCGTCCTCCTCGCTTCGAAACAGGAAGTGCGAGAAAGATGGCAACTTCAACTTCCTGCCTTGGAAAGACGACTTCACAGGGAACGGAGGCGGAGACGAGAACCAGAACCCGGTGCGACCTCGTAGCCTGGGTCTATTGGGCCGTGACCCCCATAACGTCCCCCCGTCCTCTGGGCATCACAACGCACAGAGACAGAAGATGTCCTGCTGGAGCCCACTGGAGCCGCTGCCGGAGATTGAGAGCGGCGAGGACGGGTACGGACGAGTTCCTCCTGACGGAGCGGAGGAACGGAGGATGGAGGAGGAGGAGGTGGGGATGCTGAAGAGGCAGAATCAAATGAAGCAGCAGGAGATGAAGCTGCAGATGAAGAGAGGAAGCTTTGGATTCAGAGGACGAGAGGAAGACCAAGACAGGGTCCTGGACCGTGAGGACGAGAACGAGTGGGGAGACAGCGGCTCAGACTCCGGGTCAGAAGGTGGCAGCAGCGGATCCTCTCTTCACACAGAGGGGGCAGCACAGGGTGACTGGAGCCGCCTGGGTGTGGGAGAGACCAGATCCAACCATCACTCCGGTGTGAACAGAGAGACACCTTCACGTCACCACAGCTTCAGCCGAAAGTCCCTGAGCGGGAGCTACATGGAGAACTTCATGGAGGAGGAAATGAAAACCCGCGAAGATGACGACGATTCCTCGGACACAGACGGCGAGCTGCCAGAGATGATGGACGCCGTCTGGACTCTGAGAGACCGCGAGCACTTCAAAGCCCAGGAGATGGAGAAGCACCAGGTGCAGCTGACCATGTACCGCCGCCTGGCGCTGATCCGCTGGGTCCGTACGCTTCAGAGCCGAGTCCAGGAGCAGCAGAACCGCCTGCAGTCCAGCTTCGACGTCATCCTGACTCACAGGAAGGAGCTGCTGCGGATGGGCGGCGCCACCGCCGTCGTGGCCAACACTCCTCCGCCGACTGCTGTCGGGCAGTCGTAAAACAGACGGAAACCGGTGAGAGCACAAACAGGAAGTGGAGTTGTTTCCCATCATCCTCTTTGGTGAACAGTTTTCCCTCGTGCTCCAGAATGTCCGACACAGAAACCTTTGTTTTTGCTGATTGTGTTCCACACAAACACAATCAGTGTCGACTGTGATGTTGTCCACAAAGCAACATTTGCTCGGCCCAGAAATGGACCACGCCCCTTATTTGAGTTAGCCTACATACACTGTGGAGTATATTACAAGTCCCACATCTTATGTCCCACATCCCGACTGTCGTACACATAATGTGGGCCACAGCAGCTGTGCTGTGGTGCTGTGGTCATGCTGTCATGGCTGTGTTGTCGTCTGTGTGTCAGTGAAGATGAAGAGAACGTCACCTTCATAAAAGATTTATAGATGCTGTACATAGTTATAATGACAAAGAGAATAAATAAAGTCGTCTTTTCTCTCACTGATGTGTCTGGTTGACCTTCACTGAGGAACTGGATGGTTTTTAGTAGTTTTTTTTTCTTGCACTTAAAGTCAAAAAGTCAAATGTTTGCACATTGCATGCCAAAAAAATACAACTTTATGGCTAGGTTTTTAAATGTACTAAATAACAAGATATCTTGCTATATTTAAGGCTAATTTAGCTACGTCTTAACCAATGTTTGGCTAGGTCTTTATCTTAGTCTGACCACAGTTTACAAACTCTGAGCTGAACATTTTGAATTCAGGCAGAAAAAATTCAAAAATTCCTCCTTTATAAGATTTTTATTTTTTTTAGAGGATCCTGTCTCTATTTTCTGCCCCTGGTGGCCTTAGACTGTCACTGAACAGAACGGCCTCAGTTCCAGTGAATTTGAACCTCTGAGTTAGTCTTTAACCAGCAGGTCAGTTCTGTTGACCTCCAGTAGCAGCAGGTTATTTTTTTATTTTTATAAATAAAATCCTTCTGTTCCGCCTGCACTGACGCCCTGAGGTGAACGACCTCACAGCTGACAATCGCCTCTTTGTCAGGGGAACAAAGTTGCTCTGTATCTGCTCATCACAAGGCACTGAGACCAGTGTGAAGTGTGTGTGTGTGTGTGTGTGTGTTTCTTCATGGACGTAGCTGCTGATGAAGCAGCCGCGGGCGCTCTCACCTTCCTCCATATGACTGTGTGTGTGTGAGTGTGTGTGTGTGTGTGTGTTTGCAGAGATACCAGGGGGTCTGCCACCCTCTAATCACCAATCCATGAGCTGAAGGCCCCCGGGGACCCTGGAGAAGAGAGTGCACCCTGGGGCTCTCAGAGTCCAAGGCTGGTTCATGGTTGGTGGTTCCAAACCCTGGGGCAGGTTTAGGATAATCCTCCGTCCTCCTACCCAGGAGTTGAAAAGGCTTATCTGCTGTGTTGGACGCAGACGTGGCAGTAAGAGTCTGAGGCCATTTACATATCGATGCCTCGTTCTTTGATTGGAGGTGCGTCAAAAACTGAGTGGATGACAAGTTTGCTCAGGGATGACGGCGTGTAAACAACAACAACAACAACACCTTTAAAAACCAAGACACCAAACAGGAACAATAGTGGCTTTGATTGTGTTTTTGTAAGGACGAGAGGCGTGACGTCAGGAAGGCTGCAGGCGCCGGGGACGTGTCCAACGTGGAACATGCGTGAAACATGGAGATAATTGTGCATCAAAGCTGCACCAGAACAACAGAAGTCACTTTTTACATCCAGCTTCAGGTCAGGATAAAGTGGCAGATTTTTTTAGTTCTTAGTTTGAATTTCAGAATATAATTTATTTGCCCTGTGTTGGCTTTTAAATAAATATATATTATTATATTAACTAAAAATAATCAAATATTAATATGAGTTTGTCCAAGCATATTTAACATTTGGACTGGAAGTTAGCATTAGTTTTTAAACAAGAAAAATAATCCAAATAATCAGCAGCTAATGATAAAGGAATGAGTTAAGACTTATTGTAAAGAACCAATCAGGAAATTGGAAAGGTTTCCTAAACACAGCTAAATATTAGCTTTTAAAAAAAGGTTAGAATTATGAGACAACATTAGATATCATTATTTATCAAACAGAAAAATAATAAATAAACATTAATAATAATTAATAATAGGTCAATAATAATTTTGCTTACATCCAATAATTTAATTGATTTTATTTGATATTAATTAATAATTCTTTATACAGTTCTTTGGTAAAATACACAATTCAAATCCGAAACACTCGCCGCTCTGAAGTTCGTAATTCATTTTATTTGATGGTCATTTTTAAAATACAAATATATCTTTTTTAATTTTTGACAGTTCTCTGGTAAAATACACAATTCAAGTCCGAAACACTCGCCGCTCTGAAGTTCGCCTTAGTCAAGTGTGTCCTCTAGAGGGAGACACTCCATCACAGACCACTCGATCTCCTGTGCTAGGTTCCAGGTACGGACGCCAGAGGGCATCCAAGTGAAAAAAAGGTGGAGGGTCGGAGAGTGGGGGGGTTTGAAGGAGCCTAGAATCAAGAACGGTTTCCACAGGGAACAGTTTGTCACCGCATGTTCAATAACGACGACACGGGAGTCAAGAACAAACAAGTCAAATATCCAGGCGAAATAATTCACTTCAACACAACGTGTTGTAAAATGTTTAAGGAGGAGGATTCACCGTGTTCAAACTGCTCACAGACACGGACTAATGACACTGACACAGCACCGACAGGGTCAAAGGTCAAAACGATTTACAAACAGCCGTAGCATTTGGTTGGTTTACCATGTTACGTAGAACTATTTTGTTGCATTTAAATATAATATTAAAAATAATATTATATTATAACTTCTGTCATTTTTTCCAGAATCCAATGTGTTTTCTTTTTTCTTTTTTTTTTTTAGCTTACTTCTAATTTCTAATAAGCTTTTTCTAATGTTTCCAACCCCATGGCTAACTTTAAGCTAACCACATCGCTAACTATCTTCTTGCTAACTTTCGCTCTTTATTTTTTCAACACGTTCAACAAGTATAAATGCCTGTGTGGAGTTGGAATTTATTTCTGTATGAACTGGTGTCATTTTCTCCACCTCTCCCTGAGAAGATTTATTTCTCCACTGCCGTTTGACTTCCCCTGCTGACACTATTCTCACAAACAGTCCTTTCAAATTAGGGTTCCTCAGGAAAAATCTGGACCCCCGGTTTCACATTCACATGCCCTTGACATGTGGAGAAACAAAAACCGGGGATCCCTGTTGTACTGCGGCTTTAGCTCTTTTATTTTTCATTTTTTTCAAAGTATTTTTTAAAGAGTGAAATACATATATATGCCCTATCATCCCCTTCTCTGCCTCGGCTTGATGTAGTGTGACAGTGTGCTCGCCCGCAGCACTCTGCTGGCGTGGAAACAATCAGCTTTGACAGAGAGGGGGGGGAGCGGGGGGAGAGGGGTGGTGATGGTGGGAAGGGAGAGAGGGAGGATAAGGGAGGGGAAGATGGGGTGAGGAAGAGGATGATGGGAGGCTGCTGCTGCTGCTGCTGCTGCTGCTGCTGCTGCCCCGGGCCTGAGTATGATGAACTGAAGAGAAAGACCTGTCGTCAGAGGAGAAACAACACCAGCCACACATAGATGTAGGACAGATAGATAGATAGATAGATAGATAAAAATAAATGAAATTAAATTAAAGTGAAAAGCCTGGGCCACACAACGTTCCAGTGGAGGGGCCACGATCTCCAGTTTGGTAACCACTTTTTAAAAACCATTGTTGTAAAAAAAAAAAAAAAAAAAGTAAAAATGAGGGAAAATGTCAGGTTTAATTGCATTTCTCATCAAATTAAATTTTAATGTCTCATTAACAACATAATTGGAAAATTAAATGAATCTGACCTTTGACCTTTTCTTTCTCTAAATTGTCCAAATTTGACTGGGTTTGATTTTTAAGACCACATTAATTTAACGTTTCCCGTGGACAGGCTGAAACAAACGATGACGTGTTGACGCAACCTGTGGACGCCACAAGTGAAAAGAGAACCAGCGTTTGAGCCCCGTGTGACCCCTGGGGTCACTCAGCCACTTGACTCTGTGGGACTAATTCAGTTAAAGCAATCAGCTCCGTTCTAAAGAGGCAGTCGTCAGTGTGTGATTCCAGGACGGGGCCCTTATGTGTGTGTGTGTGTGTGTGTGTGTTTCAGCTGCCTCGTCTGCTATAACCAGCTAATAAATATGAAAACAGCAGGTTAAAACTTTCTTATTGAAAGGATTAGAGCCTTCTATGGAGTCCCATGAAAACCCCCCCACACCTCATAATGCCCCAATGCTGTCCCATAAAACAGTGGTGCACAAAGGGCCCGTGAAAGGGGGCTTTTTCACGCATAAGGGGTTTTCTCAAGGGTGCATTGACAGCAGCCCAGGCTGCGATCCGCCCATAGATTATCCGGCCGTGGGTGAGAGCGCGGCTGGGAGCGGCAGGTGCGTGTGCCAGGCATGGGGGGGTCATGAATGGGAGGGCCCCCGGTCAGCGTGTGGGTGGGTGAAGTATGCGCAGCTGCAGGCTGGGATGTTTGCAGACTGTCACTTCCATTTTAACTTACTCCTTTTCTCCCCCCCTGACCTGGAGATGGAGCTGCAGTCTCTTTGGGGACCGAGGCGCGGAGAAATGGGACTAAACGCTGACACCCCGTCCACAAAAGCCACAAGCGGCGAGGGTCGCGCCCGCCGCGGTGGCGTGTAATCGTGGATTGTGATAGCAAAACGCTCACTTTTTAAGAGAGTTTCCAGGAGGTTTGAGGCAGTCTGTTAACGGCGTCTCACCTCGCTCCCCCGACGCAGGATTAGTTTGATTTTCAGACTTTTGAAGTGAAAAAAAAAACCCAACATACGGCGGCGTCAGGAAGAAGCTGAACCCAGTTAACTCAACGCAGCTCATGAATTTGTCGCTGCATCACTGACAAAATTCAGTCAAACAATGAAAAGACAGAACTTTACTGAACACAGACAGATTTTTTATTTTAGTTTTGATTTTTTTTTGTTTTTTTGAATATGCTAATAAAATTCAACTTT